AAACTCCTAGGTCAAGGTCAAAGGGTCAAAGTGGTTGATATCCAAAGGAAGGTCTTGTCACAAGGAATACACATGTGAAGTTTGAAACCCTAAGCACCAACTGTTCAAAAGTTATGGCCAAGGTTTAAGTTTTTCAAAAGTAGGTCAAACTCCAAGGTCAAGGTCAAAAGGTCAAAGTTGTTGGTATCCAAAGGAAGGCCTTGTCACAAGGAATACACATGTGAAGTTTGAAACCCCAAGCACCAACTGTTCAGAAGTTATGGCCAAGGTTAAAGTCTCATAAAATTTTGCTAAAGTGGGTCAAACTCCAAGGTCAAGGTCAAAGGTCAAATATGAAGGTACCCAAAGAAAGGTCTTGTCACAAGGAATACACATGTGAAATATGAAAGTCATAGCTCCAACCAATCAAAAGTTATGGGCAAGGTTAAAGTTGACAACAGACAGACAGACAAACAGACAGACAAACGGACAAACAGACAAACAGACAAACGGACAAACAGATAAACAGACAAACAGACAGACAGGACAAAAACAATATACCCCCGGGATCTTTCGATCCGGGGGCATAAAAAGATGCTTGCGTCTCTAATTGACAATATTAATTTTATAGAACTTTTTAACTGATTCAGAAATTCTTGAGACGGTGAAATAATCTACTTTCGATTCAGATGAAATTAATGATAATTCTCAAAACCCTATTTTATACCAAGAGGCCATAACGGCCACTGACATCTTTGTCATCCGGTAATCAAATTCTTAGAGCATGACACAGGAAATTGATGTGTTCAATATTCTAGTATTTAATTTCTTTTCAGTCAAAACATTGTAAACAAAGAAAAAAAAAACAATAATAATGACATTTTTCCCCATAAAGAAACGAGAGCTGTCCCTATACACATGTGACATAGATAGATTGTAACTGAAATAAATTACGTAATATATTTATTTTGTTTTGATAACCAACTGAATTGTAATTTATGGCAGAATTCGTTATATTGCCACCCTCGCTTTAATGCCAAAATCTGTCTTGGACAAAAGTTGGCAATATACCGAGGTAGCACTGTATATCGACGACGTATTATCAATTAACAATAGTTACATGTACTTCCATTCATACATGTATGTCGACTCGATATATCCCAGTGAACTTAAAATAAAAAATACCACAGAGTCTGACACATCTGTTTCATATTTGGATATTTTACTAGATTTTACTAGAGGAAAAACGTTAATGGTAACCTAACATCAAACTTTATGATAAACGTGATGACTTTAACTTTTCTATCTTCAACTTCCCTTATTTATGTAGCAATATACCCTTATCACCTGCATATAGGACTTATATATCCCAGTTAATTCGATACGCAAGAGCATTCCCTACGTACGAACAATTATACTTATTGAGAAACAAGATGATGAAGCAAGGATATCAACGGCCTCGTGTAAAGTAATCACTTTGCAAGGTCTATAGTCGATGCAATGACCTTGTCAGCAAATACAATCTATTTGTAAGTCCAATGCTGACTGACGTTTTATGTACTAATTATTAAGTCATATTTAAATACTGAATTAAAGGACTTGTCCCATGTTTTTAAAAAATCCATAATTTTCTGGAAAACATTATCTACAACCTTGTTTATTAAAATATTGAATAAAATAAAGGTTGTTGTAAGCATATTTAAGAGAAATTAGGAGTTGAAATTCAAATACGGCGATATGCATATTTCAATCGGATTTCGGCGCCATACTGCTGTGACGTCATATGCGACAATTCAGTGACAGCGAGATGAGAAACTGTATACTTTTTACGAAGATTTTTCCGTTTTGTTTCCCGATCATGACAATGAGTACACGGTGGGTGTGCCTGGTCGACAGGGGATGCTTTCTCCTCGATCCATGGTACCTGATCCCACCTCTGATGTTTCTCAGAAGTCCATGTTTGCTCTGCTCTCTGATTTGTATTGTTTCGATGGACTTTTAGCTTGAGTGATTACTGTTCGTTATCTCCATATTAGATAAAAATATCTGGGCAGTGATTTTAAATTAAAACAGTGGTCTGCATTACTTCCTTGCCAAACTTTTCTCTGTTGCTAGCAACTCTATCCCCCCCCCCCCCGAAAAAAAAGCTCGTGCTACAGAAACCGCAACAACATCACAACAAGTTCGCAACCTAGATCCGGAAGATGGCTCTCAAGAAGAGCTCATGATGTGTGCAGGTGAAAGCCATCAGGAAGCCAGTTCACCGAAAAATCTTCTCTCGATTAAGGCAAACACTAGGATAGGGACCTGGAACATCAGAACCCTATATGAGGTCGGAAAATCTGCCCAAGTTGCAAAGGAGATGAAAAGATATAACATCAAGGTACTTAGTTTATGTGAAGTAATGTGGAATGGAAGAGGACTAGTCTGCTTATCATCAGGAGAGACCGTCATCTACTCAGGACTTGAGGAACAGGACCATGCGCATACTCATGGGTTTGCCTTAATGATGACACCAGAAGAGCAAAAGCAATGAAAGCATGGGAATCAGTGTCACAAGACTCATGTCAGCCAGGTTGAATTCCAAGGGAAGGAAGGTAACGATCATTCAATGCTATGCACCAACTAATGCAGCAGAGGAGCAGGAAAAGGAATTATTATATAGTCTATAAATAGTTCCTATATAATCTATACAAACGCAAAAGGTTCATAATACTGGATATTCACTGGATTTGAGGTCGTATTCACCGGAGGGTCAGTGCATGTGCAGCGGCATTGTGACGTCAAAATCAATACCTTAAACAACGTTGAAAACAATGGTTGCAACAAGAGCCAGCCGTGTATCTGAGCAGAAAAAAATGTTAGGCAAGTCTATTGCAGGATTTTTTTCCCAAACATTTCGATGTTTTACACACAGCGGAAGGATACGGAAGTTATAAGTTGAAATCTGGACAATTTTTTGATTTTTCAACGACAGAGGTTCGTTAATGAAAAAGGTATAGTCATGCAGCCTTCAATGTCTTATTTATTCAAATCCTTCACTATATAATAAAACAATTATGGACTCTTTAGGTGGTGAATATGGTTTGTTATTCACCAGAAAAATATCAATATTGACCTCGGCTTCGCCTCAGTCAATATTGATATTTTTCTGGTGAATAACAAACCATATTCGCCAAGGTCAATATTGATATTTTTCTGGTGAATAACAAACCATATTCACCACCGAAAGAGTCCATAATTGTTTAGAATTTTACTCTGCATTATACAGTCACTGATATAGACCGTGCACCTCGCAGATTTAAAAATTGTGACGGGAGATTTTAATGCAAAGATGGGAGATAACAACACGAACAAAGAACTCATCATGGGAAAACATGGCATCAGCAACTTGAATGAAATGGAGAACTTTTTACAGATTTTTGCACTTTCAATGATCTAGTTATAGGAGGTACCATCTTTCCATACAAGGAGATACACAAAAAAACCTGGATTTCCCCGGATGGAAAGACAGAGAATCAAATAGATCATATCACCATCATGCGTAAGTGGAGAAGAAGTATGCTAGATGTCAGGACAAGACGAGGAGCAGATGCAGCCTCAGATCACCAACTTGTTACTGCTACACTGAGGATGAAACTCAGTGCATTCGAAGACAAATCTAACACGCCCAACTACAAGTTCAACATTCAGTTTCTTTAAAACAAAGAGAAAAGATAGGAGTTCAAAATTACAAAAAACAACAAGTTTGAGGCACTAGAGTATCTGGCAGAAACAACCATAGAAGATCATTGGGTAAAGCTTCAAGACACCTGGAAAAGTGCATGCAGTGGAGTCCTAGGCAAGAAAACGAGGGAGCACAAAGAGTGGATGACAGCAAGATCATGGGGAAAAGTGAAAGATTAAAGCAAAACATCAACCAGTGTCAGAATACTCAGCAAATGGAGAAAATGAGAACAGAATATAGTTAAACAAGTTAAAAAGAGTGCCAGGAAGGACAAGAGACAGTTCGTCCATGACATGACTGAAGAGGCAGAGAGAGCAGCCAGACAAAACAACATGAAAAAGCTCTATGAAATAACTAGGACACTGTCTGGAAGAAATGTGAACACCAACGCCCCAGTGCGGGAAAAACAAGGCAAAATTATCACTAGCGATGTAGGACAAAGAGCTAGATGGGTAGAGCACTAGTTCTAATGTTCTTAATCGACCACCACCACCCAGTCTTGCAAGTATACCACCAATGATAGAAGAACTTAACATCAATGCAGGACCATCATCTAGAATAGAAATCACCAAGGCTATAAAGACACTGAAAAATGGAAAGACAGCTGGTCCAGATGGTATCCCTCCTGAGGCACTCAAAGCTATTCCAACAAAGTCAGCAGAGATGTTACAACCACTTCTGCAAAAGATATGGGAAAAGGGAAAAGTACCAGATGCGTGGAAAACAGGATACCTAGTTAAACTACCAAAGAAAGGGGACCTGTCGCAGTGTGGAAATTGGCGAGGCATCATGCTTTTATCCAATACCAGTAAGATCCTAACAAGAGTAATCTTGGAAAGAATGAAAGGAGCATTGGACAAGAAACTGAGATCAGAGAAAGCAGGGTTCCGCCAGGACAGATCATGCACAGATCACATTACCACACTACGTATTATCATGGAACAGTCCATTGAATGGCAGTCTCCTCTTTACTCAATCTTCGTGGACTTTAAGAAGGCCCTGACAGTGTGGATAGGTCAAAAACCGGGGCATTAATGCGGCATTATGGAATTCCACCAAAGTTCATAAGTGTCATCAGGAATCTGTATGACGATGCCACATGTCACATCATTCACAATGGGAAGCTCACAGATCCTTTTAATATGGAAACGGGAGTAAGGCAGGGCTGCATCCTCTCACCAACCATATTCCTGATAGTAATTGACTGGATCATGCAGAAAACAACAAATGGCAGAAAGACCGGAATCCAGTGGACCTTCACCAAACACTTGAGAACTTGGATTTTGCAGATGACATTGACCTGCTCTCGCAGCAGCAACAAGATGCTCAGGAGAAATTATCACGATTGGCATCAGAAGCTCAGAACACTGGCCTTAAAATAAATACTAAGAAGACAGAGGTGATGAGAATCAACAACAAACAGTAGATATCAATCCAGTTAAATGGGGAGAACATCAAAGAAACTGACAGATTCACTTATCTTGGGAGTATTATCAACAAGGACGGTGGCGCAGATGACGATGCCAAAAGCCGAACTAATAAGGCAAGACATGCTTTCAATACCCTCAGACAAATCTGGAGTTCTAAAGCACTCTACATCAACAGCAAAATCAGGATTTTTAACACAAATGTTAAAGCAGTTCTGTTATAGGGTTGTGAGACTTGGAAGGTAACTAAAACAATAAACAACAAACTACAATCTTTCATCAATAAATGTCTCCGCCATATCCTTAACATCAGATGGCCTGACACAATATCAAACAACAGCCTATGGGAGAGAACCGACCAAAATCCCATATATATTGACATTAAGAAGAGAAAATGGGGTTTGATAGGCCACACTTTACGCAAATCCTCAAACAATATCACAAAACAGGCTCTGGATTGGAATCCACAAGGAAAGAGGAGGGTTGGGAGACCCAGGGAAACATGGAGAAAGATCGTGGAAATGGAGGCAAAAGAAGCAGGTTTTACCTGGACCAAATTAGAAAACATAGCCCAAAACAGAGTCCGATGGCGCGGTGTGGTTGCGGCCCTATGCTCCCCAAGAAGCGAAAAGGAATAAGTCAAGTAAGTCATTCCCAACAACCAAATCGAATCTGAGTTACCATATACCTATACTAGATTCCTAAAATTCATAAAATTCCTTATACAAAGACGAATAGCGGGACTTAGAAAATGTTCTACTGAGTCTCCTCTACTCCTTACGAAAATGTTAACAGAAGTGAAGGAGAAACTTCAGGAGCACTGTACAAACATTTTCGAGAAGTGGTTTTAATTGATGTGGATAATAAAAATCCCTAAGAAACTTTAAAATTTGAAATCATAAAATTTTATCAGATTCAATAACTTTTCAACACTTTATACAACCATTCCTCACGATAAATAAAAGATCGACCAGGTTTCTTGACATAGACTGCCTCATAAAAGTTAAACTCGTAAATTAGCATACCTTGTCATTGGTCATTTGCAATCTTATTTTAAAAAAAAAACAAACCATTTTGATTCTATACACAAGTACAAGTATTCCGAGGTGGATATTAAAACGATGCTTGTACTTCTCAATGACAATATCCATATATGGTTTCGGAAACCAGGTCTTCCAACAATCTGTTTCCAAGGGTACTAATTGTGAACTGTTATTAGCAGACCTGTTTAGTTAATTCATATGAAGCAAAATTATTAAGGTCAAGATCTAGTAAATGAAAGGTGCCTACACATTTTTCAAATTTGAGGGACGAGTTCTTTTAATAGTTCTTTACAAATATAGTTTGGTAAAATAAGGTGTTTCGGGACATGATTTTTAGGTAAACTCAACGAAAAAAAACATGTTTTAAACTGTCATTTTCAATGTAAAATGAAGAGAGTCAGGTATAAATTTCAGAGTTTTTTCCATCAAAGAAAAAGGAAATGTATCAATATTGCCCACAGTCTCTCTTAAAACGGTTTTTCGTATCTTCTTGACCTTTACTTTAAAATGATATTTAATTGAATATAGGTATCGGGGTTACTTTTGACATGATTTCAAATTGAATTCTATAAAAATACTTCATTTTCTACATAATTCTATAACTGCCATGAAGTACGGGGAAAAAGTTTAAATCAATTATGACGTCATAATGGATCTAGCTTCAAAAAGACAGTCTGAACTCATTTACTAGATCTTGACCTTAGATATCTTCTACATTAAAAAGAAGAAATTTCTAACTTGCTGCGGCCTTCAACTCGACATTTAGATATATTGACGACGTTTGATCAATGAACAATATTTAGATCCATTCTTAAGTTAATTTGATGCATTCCATTGAACTCGAAATAAAAGTTACTACAGAGAATGACACATCTATTGCATGTTTGGACGTTCTACTAGAGAAAGACATTGATGGCAAACTGATAACTAAACTCTATGATAAGTGTGATATCTCAACTGTTCTATTGTCAGCTTCCCTTATTTATACATTATCACCTGCATAAGGAGTTTATGTCTCCCAGTTGATTCGATACGCAAGAACATGTACTTATTGGGGGAAAGTGAGACTCAGATCAAAGTGAGTTCATCTAAGTTTTAAGGCCTCCAATCCAGGCTCGACGCTTTCGTCTCGTTTGGTCCGACGATTTGCGCCTGTCAACTAGACATGAAACGGTTCTGTGGATCATGATTCTATTAAAATAGCAATTCTTTATAAATTAATATAATTATAAACTTATTGTAAATTTGTGAATGATTGTAAATTTATTGTAAAAAGATACATAGAGTGATAAGCATAAGAATATAATAATAATCTTATATCTAGAATGAGATGGGTAAGGCAAATTCAAACAAAGATATCCAGTAACAATAACACAGTAATTATAACTGTTAATATCAACTTTGGATTCTTTCTTTTTTTTTTGATTCTTTGGATTAAGAGGCCAAAAAAAGATATAAAAAATAATTACATGCAGAGAGAATAATAATAAATACAATGCACTAAAAATATTTACATGTAGTTGAACATTATCACACATTATGTCCAAAACACTTTACCTAGAACTTGTTTAAAAATTGTTAATTCATTTTTCAATTTAAAAAATTATATGTATTTCTGTTTTACTATAAGGGTACAAGTCCTTCAGTAAGAACATTTGTGTTTAGTATCATTTGAATGTCTTTGACATAAAGCACAGAGTAGATCCTGGTAACGACCAATCAGTATATCACATCTTATCATCGGGTCCCCCGTCACGAGCCTTCGTCCTTTGGCAAAGAAGATCAGATCCAATACATAGAGCTGAAAATTGTCAAGATATTCAGTATATATATAAGTTAATTATGAAGAGAAATAGTACGATCTCTAAAAGAAATAAATTAACTTACCTGTTCCCAAGTACAGTAAGTCAGCTGTAATGCTGGCTCTTTCTTCAATGTATTCCTCAGTATTTTACAATTTTTTCGGCATCCAGGAAACAACTTGTGTGCGTCTGCCAAGGCAATGTATTGGAAGCCATTCACAAGAACGTATGGAAGAACAAAGCCCGGATGTAGGACTAGTCCCCCAGTCTCTGTTCCTGAATCATCACGAAACACGTCATATCTAGAGGAGGTGAACAGACAACAATCAGAACGCGAAGCCTTTCTTTACAACCATTCACTAAAAATTTAACTTTGTCTTGATATTTAATTATCGTTTACTTTAATTTTTTTATTATGATACCCCACAAAAAATTAATAATTATAATTAACTTACCCTATGTCAAATATGTCGATTCCTAGCGCTGGATAAATATTTCCAGTACTTATGGATGACAATATTTGACTTTCTGTTGAATTAAGTGGTGCACCCTCTCCTTCCTGTTTGATTTCTATTTTATTCTTTCTTTTAATCCGTATCCCCTTCTTCCTTCCAGAATCGTCGCTTTGTTTGACTTTTTCTAGGAGTTGAACTGGGGTCGAGCTAGGTGTTCCTCTTGAGAAACCTGCTTCCATGTCAATTAGTTCATTTTCACTGACACTTTGACACCTTCTGCTATTGTTTTGGGGAGGAATTCTCGATTCCGAGGGTTTCCTTCTTGTCAGAATATCGAGGATTCTTTTTTGTTCCTCGATAACATTTTGGATTCGAATAGCTTTCTGCAATTCCTCGGCTTTACAGTCGACCGAACAAGCACTCTTGGCAGCTTTTGGCTTTCTTTTTCTGCCTTTCTTTGCTTTCTTTTCTGTACTGTTTTTCCTTCTTTTCTTGCTTTTCTCAAGATTTTTTCCTTTTTTTGCATCCAAATGACTAGATTCCGAATCCCCAATCTCTGTTTCAATGTAAGGATCAACATCTGTGGCTGTTTCCGATTTGGATCCTTTTCCATCCGTGTGTATTTTCTTTGTTTTTCCACTTTCCTCTGTTAAACTGTTTACACGTGTGTCTTGAAGCTCGTGAGAGCTCTTGCTTTCATCAGGTTTCTCTTTTTTCATTTCTTTGCTTTCGTTTGTTTTATAATAGATAATTACCACGTCATCCCCCGTTGATGTATCGACTCTAAATTTGTCGTTGAAGTCTGTCTCTGACACAAAGTCTGTTTCCTGTGGATATAAGGATAGGTCAGATTCATTCATTACTATTACATCCTCGCGAAGTTTCTCGTCAATCACTTCTTCGTGGTCAACGTTCGAGTCTTGCAGAAGGAATAATTCGGTAACATTTTTGTTTATAGCTTGGTCAACTGACTCGCCGTTGCTAACCATTTTGTTGACATGCCTGGCCTCAGTAACAGTTTCCTCAGTAACAGTATAGGGCGTATTTTGTTTTTTCTCTGTTTCCTCAGTAGCAGTATAGGGCGTATTTTGTTTTATCTCTGTTTTCTCAGTAGCAGTATAGGGCGTGTTCTGTTTTTTCTCTGTTTTCTCAGTAACAGTATAGGGCGTATATTGTTTTTTCTCTGTTTTCTCAGTAACAGTATAGGGCGTATTTTGTTTTTTCTCTGTTTCCTGTACATTCTGGCCTATAGCTAGCTTTTTCTTGTTTTGTTCTAATGCTTTGCTTCCCACCTTGTTTTGTTGAACGTCAGCCATAGTTGATTTTTGGTCTCTATGAATAGAAAGAAAATCTTTCGCCCATCTCTTCTTGGGATGAAAAGTATCAGTAGCGATTTTTGTTTGAGTGACATCAACAGCGTAAACGGTAGTCTCTTTCACATCAGATCTAGGTCTTTCCTTTTCTAATGTTTTGCAAACCTCAACGGAATTCAAACACCTATCCTTACTTCCTTGCGCAGACACAATCTTCAAGCCAGTGTGCTGTTGCGCATTGATAAGCGTGCTATAAGTAACACCCTTATTGTTCAATTTTTGGATTCCTTTTGAAGAATCTCTTCTGTCGCGTGGTAAACTGTAGTCAGCTCCTGTAATGTTTTGTTGAATAATGCCACCGCCTTCAAACGAAACCCTTTTCTTAGTGATGTTCTGTAAACAAGTCTGATTTGTTTTGCGCACAATGTTTTTGCCAACTTGATTCACTAAACCTCTTGCTGAATCTCCACTTGTTTCCATTCTATCTCTTTGTGCTCTCCCTAAATTGTTTTCTGAGAAACACTGAGACTTCGTGTCTGATTGTCCACATTCTGAAGACTGTGTTTTGTCAGAAGTAGGCACATGTGTAGTTTTAGCTAGATAAAATGTTTCAGTGGAAGATAAATCTATCGTTGCATCTGAACAGTTTTTCAATAGAGAGGCATGTTTTTTCGTTCCTTTGTCGTAATTCTCATTTTCAGTTTCCTTTAGGTTAGACCTGCTTGACAAATGTTTTTTTCTGTCATGGAAATTATTCGTTGACTCAAAACTCCTTACTTTTTGATTACTTGTATCCTTGGAAACGGTCTTCAATTTCCGAGTTCCAGGTATGACCGGTAGTACAACAGTATTTTTCGACCACTTCGGTTTGCTCCCAGTCTTGCTTTCTGATTTCTCTTGCACATATCCTTTCCCCATTGTTTCATGATCGGTCGTTTTATTTGTCCGTATGTCTGACTCTTTCTTCTGTCTCTCCATATTAAGTTCTCTGATAGCTTTCAATGATTCAATACTATGTCTAAAAGGATTCGATGACACAAGATCCATCAGTGTTTTATCATCCACACTTTGATTTTTAAACTTCTTAAGTTTATGCTTCACGGAGTTGAGACGACCTGACTTGCTGCAAGCAGGTGGCTCCTTACTTTGGTTTATTTCAGGACAATTAATTGATTTTCTCGGGCTCCTTTGTTGCACTGTACTGTTTGCATGACCACCTTTAATTATCCCAGTTTCTGAAAAACTATTCGAGGGCGCGGATGAGGCAGTAACACCATCTGGTAAAACGTTTGACTTGTTTACATTTTCTGTCGATGAGTTTGTTGGCATCAATGTTTTTCCTTGGTTTGAAGTTTCCTTACATTCCCATTTGATATCTGGACCATCTCGAGGACTTTTGATTCTTTGGCGCTTTTTTTCTAAGGTGGCCTTGCTCATTTTATATTCCGAAGTCGACCCGTTTGATGTAGCTTTGGGAGTTTGTTCTTGATAATTGCAGTAAAGGTTTGGGAAAAGATGGGGTAATCTTTCTGGATTTGTTTTAACTTCCTTGAAGCTAACCTTAAAGGCCCTGGTCAAATCTTCTGTTTTACTGACACCACTCTCCATTTTAATCTGCAAAATGAAACCTGATGGAAATTCGAAACATTAAAATTATTCTCTCTCTCTCTTCCTTTCTCTCTCATTTTTATGTATACTGAAGCAAGAGCAATTAGATGTCTTTGTGAAACACTGATGCACCCGTACTACAGCTCATGGCCAAGGTTAAAGTTTTTTAAAAGTAGGTCAAACGCCCAAGTTCAAGGTTATGACGTCTAAAACGTCAGTAACCAAAGACAGCTCTTTCACTGGAAATACCCTATGAAATATAAACGCTTTAGCGCCATCATTTCAGAAGTTATGGTCAAGGTTAAAGATAGTTCAGAGTTTTCCAAAAGTAGGACAAACTCCTAGGTCTAGGTCACGAAAAGAACCAAAAGAAAGGTCTTGTCACAAGAAATACATGTATTATGTAAAATATAAAAGCCCTAGCATCAACCGAGCAAGTTTTATGGCCAAGATTAAAATATTTGCGGACAAACGGAAAGACGGACCAAAAACTTCATGCTCCCAAATCTCCGATTTCGGGGACATAAAAAAGGAGTAAATTCTAATTGCGTTACCTTTATCTCATTATCTGCTGTTTGGGTTACGTTTAAATCCTTGCAATATTTATTAAGGAACTTCATACAGCTTGTAAAAGAGACCAACAAATCACGGGTTGTAAGATGTCGCCACTGACCTCCTGTCAAAATATATGACACTGTCTTTATGTAACCAATCTGCCTTACTGATATGATAATATAAATATTATACATTGCGCAGTCATCATTATACATCATAGTACCAGTGTACCTACCCCAGCCACCCTGTCTGTTGTATTGCCAGGTCGTGATCTCTCTTGCCTCTGCAGCAGAGCAGCAACGACTAATGGTATTGTCGAATTTGACCACGTTACGTCCACAAAAGTCCACCAGCCTCTTTCGTACAATAGGTACAATATTTCCCAGAATGTGCAAAGGGATATACCGTCTGATATTTCCGGTTTGACTTTTATCTTCATCAAGGGCTGGTACCAAAAATTCTTGTGAAGAAATCACCTTATCGAGAATTGTATCCACAAAAGTTTTCTGAAACTTCGTAATTGTGAAACTTACTTCTTCGTGAACAGGTGAATGGCTTTTAGTGGCTGGTGAACAACAAAATGGCCTGTCGTTGCTAGTAGATATGTGTTTTTTCAACACCCTCTCCCACAAGGAAACTTGACCATAATCAAGTTTATTTATTTGAACTAGAAGCGTTCCTATAGAGACATACCGGAATTGTCTAAGGAAAGCAACATGGTCACGTGGTGTGCAAGGATGCATGAATTTCTCTGACTTTGGGTAATTCAGAATCGATTTCAGCTCCCGAAGAACAATATCACAATTTTTAGTGCAGGAAGGAAAAAATATTTCTTTGAAATCTGTCCACACAACCATCTTTTGATTATTTGCGTTGGAAATATAAGGCATGTGCTGGAGGTGTCGTCTGACGTGTTCCCGCCTCTGTGCGTCATTGTAATTGTTATCGTTCCAGTTCACGATGAAGTCCCCATCTTTTTCGGTAGTGAAAGTCATTGTGCAATATGTCAAGTAAAAGTATTTGGTTGCTAAATGTGAAAGAAAACACACACACATATATATATAAATATATATATATATATACATATATATATATATATATATATATATATATATATATATATATATATATATATATAAAAAGCACTAAAAACCAACAACACTGTATATCCGAAGTGTCGGATCTACTAAGTAGATACAAGGTCACGGATGGAAATTTATATAAAGCACTAAAAATGACCAACGACACGAACAATAATAATTGTCAAATTTTCGGGACAACCTGTCCCTTCCTCAGGACAAAGAAAAAAGTTAAGAAGTCATAAAAACAAAGGAAATAGAGAAGCAAAAACAACTAGCACTACTAATAAACTACCAAACACTAAATATTTACAAGGTTACATGTTTAATTTGGAGTTTATAAACAGTTGTGAACAAAGAAATCCGGAGCGCTATGAATTGCGTCCGGTCTATCGGGTGTACTCGGTGAAGTGTGATTTACATAATTGAACGAATTGATTATCGCTAATTAATTACGGCCAACAGTAAATCGTACATTGTCTTATTCTCTCAAAATGGCGTAACTCTACATGATAAAAAGAAATTAAAGAAAGATAATATGGAAGGACAATTTTGAAATATGAATTTGGATATATTATAAATTTGGAAATCGGAAAAAAGAAATAAACAAAAATGTGAGCTGTAAATATTTGGGTAGGTTGTTCCAGGATTATTAATACGAATTAACGGTAAAGTTTACGCTATATAGAGAGAATGAACTTGTTTGTTACAATTCGGGATTGGGTCTAGTTCACGTTCATCCTGGTGAAGTCATTAAGTTTGTTAATACCATTAGGGCGGAATGACTTCAGCCTGTGCATCCAGAACTTTTCCTTGCCTTTTCTCTGCGCGTCTGTCCATCTTGGATTATGGTCAATAACCACTACTGTCATGTCCTCCCATTTGTGACCTTCAAGGTTGAAATGTTCCCCAACGGGTTCATTGAGTTTTTTGGTCCTAATGGTAGAACGGTGATTATTGACTCTCCTGCGGAGATCTCCTGTTTCACCAACATACTGTTTGGAGCAAACTTTGCAGCTGATGAGATAAATGCAGTTGTCTGTTTGACAGGACAAATTCCCTAGTATTTTGTAGCTGCGGCCTGTAACGGGGCTGTTAAAACTGTCTGTGTCAGAGCTGTACTTACAGAGAAGACATCTTCTGTCAGAGCAAGTTTTAAAGCCCCATGAGATGGCGGGACATGACAGGCAAAACCTATTACGCTACAAGGAAAAAGACAATAGCGGCAGGGTCCCTCTGGTAACCACATACCATCCCGTCCTTAAGAACCTCAGCGGTATCCTTCAAAAGAATCTGCCAATTCTCCACTCAAATAAACGAATGGCAGAGGTCTTTAAGGAGCCCCCATTGGCTGCATACAGGCGCCCGAGGAACCTGAAGGACATGGTAGTAAGAACCAGATTGGACAATCCATTACCTAACGGGGGCTTTAAAACTTGCTCTGACAGAAGATGTCTTCTCTGTAAGTACAGCTCTGACACAGACAGTTTTAACAGCCCCGTTACAGGCCGCAGCTACAAAATACTAGGGAATTTGTCCTGTCAAACAGACAACTGCATTTATCTCATCAGCTGCAAAGTTTGCTCCAAACAGTATGTTGGTGAAACAGGAGATCTCCGCAGGAGAGTCAATAATCACCGTTCTACCATTAGGACCAAAAAACTCAATGAACCCGTTGGGGAACATTTCAACCTTGAAGGTCACAAATGGGAGGACATGACAGTAGTGGTTATTGACCATAATCCAAGATGGACAGACGCGCAGAGAAAAGGCAAGGAAAAGTTCTGGATGCACAGGCTGAAGTCATTCCGCCCTAATGGTATTAACAAACTTAATGACTTCACCAGGATGAACGTGAACTAGACCCAATCCCGAATTGTAACAAACAAGTTCATTCTCTCTATATAGCGTAAACTTTACCGTTAATTCGTATTAATAATCCTGGAACAACCTACCCAAATATTTACAGCTCACATTTTTGTTTATTTCTTTTTTCCGATTTCCAAATTTATAATATATCCAAATTCATATTTCAAAATTGTCCTTCCATATTATCTTTCTTTAATTTCTTTTTATCATGTAGAGTTACGCCATTTTGAGAGAATAAGACAATGTACGATTTACTGTTGGCCGTAATTAATTAGCGATAATCAATTCGTTCAATTATGTAAATCACACTTCACCGAGTACACCCGATAGACCGGACGCAATTCATAGCGCTCCGGATTTCTTTGTTCACAACTGTTTATAAACTCCAAATTAAACATGTAACCTTGTAAATATTTAGTGTTTGGTAGTTTATTAGTAGTGCTAGTTGTTTTTGCTTCTCTATTTCCTTTGTTTTTATGACTTCTTAACTTTTTTCTTTGTCCTGAGGAAGGGACAGGTTGTCCCGAAAATTTGACAATTATTATTGTTCGTGTCGTTGGTCATTTTTAGTGCTTATATATATATATATATATATATATATATATATATATATATATATATATATATATATATATATATATATTAGGGATATCAAATCGGTCAATATTTGATAGTCGGTTACTCGGACGATTTTCCGATCGAGTACCCGGGTACTCGGAAAAAGTAGTATACATGAAAAGTTGTTAATTTTATTGAGACCTGTTTTATCCATCGATGTTTTCTTTCGTTTATAATGCATGAACATAAACATCGAGCCTAACGAAAACGATTTTTTGGTACTTTATTTATGTATCAAACAAATGCTAAAGACATGATCAATCAATACACCAAAATTACAAATGCTTTAAATACAGTTCTTGTTTAGGAAGACAATTTAATCAACGGAAGAGAAGGACGCAACTTTGTAATGATAAGACTAGCGAAAGAGAATGTCTTTGGGAATGGACGTTGTCCTGATCGCGAGTCGTACATGTATAATATTTACATTTCCAAGTTTTCTCTGTGATAAATCTGAAAGTTAAGTATGTTGATTTCCCGATATTTACAAATTCACCCGTTATGCATAAATTATCCCACGTTTCCAACGGCCGTTGATGCCATGGCATACCCAACAAACTAGACAGTGATTCCTTAAATATATGGTTTTTACCCTCGTATACGCTTGCACAGCTGATGTATGTCCGATTTCGCTATCGTATGCTGATTAAATAATCTATAAGGATAATTAATAGATCATAATTAAAAGATGTTCAATGAAAACAAATAATTAAAGCCATCCAAAAATTAGGGTCACAAGAGGTGAGAACAGCTGTGTACGATGTCCGGAGATTGGTCACGGTAATTACTGTATATACATGTACACAGCCACAGGCGATAACGGGTATTAACTGGTGTGGGTGACGCTAATTACTGTATAGACATGGACAATGCATATTTAAATCAAGTTTTTAATAAATATATGCACTTTGAAATATAAAAAAAAATATACATCCGAATAACCGAGTACCGATTTTAGTATTCGATACTCGGACGTTTGATCGAGTACCCGGTTAACCGGGTACTCGTTGACATCCCTAATATATATATATATATATATATATATATATATATATATATATATATATATATACATATACATATATATATATATATATATATATATATATATATATATATATATATATATATATATATATATATATATATATATATATATATTTATTATACCTCTGTGAATTTTTTCTATATAAAAATATGACGAATAAATCTTCTATTTTTTTAAACCGTGGAATAGTTTTTGTGCTATTAGCCCATGGTGAAATAGTCATCAAACTATTCACCGGCAGCATTCCGTTTCCCTCGCTTTTCATTTCGGAGCTCTTCTGTTTTATCCAGATTGTGACGTAACACAAGTAAAGTCGGCTTCGGTATAATAAAACACCTATTTACTGACTATTCGGACAATAGCAAGTTTATCGTCCCCCTCGACAGCAACTATTTCCCTCGGCTGCGCCTCGGGAAATAGTTGCTGTCTTTGGGGACGATAAACTTGCTATTGTCTTCATAGCCAGTAAATAGGTGTATAATATATATATATATATATATATAATATAGTTCATATAATATAAACACTTAATAAACAGAAGCTTAGTTTATTATTTAATTGATAAAAGTTATAGACCTGGGCCGGTGTAGAGGGAATGCTCAACTGGCATTCCACTCTTAAAAAAATTGAGGGGAAAAAAGGAAGAAACGTAAAAAGAAATATTTACATTTTTCAATGTCTTTCTCTGAGATAAAACTACAAATAATGTAATAGCTTTATAACCCCATAAAGCGATTTGCTTAGCACGTGACAGAACTGCATGCTTTTTTTGCTACGTGTTGCTTAGTAATAAACCTGGCGGGGATGCTGAGATTTCTTATTATTGATTTTTATGCCCCCGTAATCGAAGATTCGGGGGCATATAGTTTTTGCCGTGTCCGTCCCTCTGTCTGTCTGTCGGTCTGTCCGCAAAAACGTTAACCTTGCCCATAACTTTTGATTGGTTGGAGCTATTGCTTTCATATTTCACATGTGTATTCTTTGTGACAAGGCCTTTCTTTGGGTACCATCATATTTGACCTTTTGACCTTGACCCTGGAGTTTGACCCACTTTTGTAAAATTTTTTGAGACTTTAACCTTGGCCATAACTTTTGAACAGTTAGTGCTAGGGTTTTCGTACTTCACATATGCATTCCTTGTGAGAAGACTTTTCTTTAGATACCAACAACTTTGACCCTTTGACCTTGACCTTGGAGTTTGACCTACTTTTGGAAAACTTTAACCTTGGCCATAACTTTTGAACAGTTGGTGTAAGGACTTTCATACTTCACATGTACATTCCTTGTGACAAGATCTTCCTTTGGATACCAACAGTTTTGGCATTGACCTTGACCTTGGAGTTGACCTACTTTAAAAAATTTTTAACATTGGCCATAACATTTGAACATTTGGTTGTAGGGCTTTCACATTTCACGATCATGTGTATCACTTGTGACAAGTACTTCCCTTGGGCACCATTTGACCTTGACCTTGCCGTTTTACTTACTTTGAAAAAAAACTTTAACCTTCGACATAACTTTTCAACGGTTTGTACTAGGGCTTTCATATTTCACAGGTATATTCCTCGAGACAAGACCTTATTTGGGTACGAACATTTTTTAATTTCTTGACCTGGAGTTTGACTTGTATATAAGAAACTTAAACCTTCGCCATAAGCTGCCATACGGGGGCATTAGTGTTTCACAAACACTTCTTGTTTTTATTGAATCAAGGATCCGGTAAAAATGTACAATGTAAATATAAGGAAAAACTGTCTAGTTTTTTGGTTTTATGAGGATGATCAATCAGTTTCCTCGCGTGATAATTGTACGCATCCGTTTATGCAAATTATCACGCGAGCAAATTGATTGATCTCATTATAAAACAAAAAAAAAACAAAAAAAAACTAGACAGTTATTCCTTTTAAATACACAAGAAATTCATCCTTGAATTCAACCTGTACTCATTATTAATTAAGAATCGAAAGTCTTGATACTCGATCCGTTACACTCGTATTAATTAAATTGTCGTGAGTTTCTGCATATCGTAGTTTTTACCCCCCCCCCTTCCATGAAAATCACGGATCCGTTCCTGATAGAAGCCTTCATGTTCAATTGATTTATTATGTTTTTTTTTATCTTTGTCTGTTTATTGTTTCTCAAAGCTATTATATCATCTGAGGTCATGTATCTTTTGTAAATTGTAAAGTGTTGTTTTGTACTCAGTGCACTGTTTTACAGAAGAATTAGAAAACTTAAGTGCTAGATTGCTAAGTAACTAAGTTTCCTATCAATTGTGCAATAATTTTTTGATTTTTTTTTTATTAATTTACACAACTTTGAGAGTATATTTACGGTTAACTCAACAAGAGCGGTCCTCAAAAGGGGGCAGGAAGTTTTCAACTAATATAAGATGCCAGGATGACAGCCAATGAACGAAAATTGCACACTAAGAATATTTACTGTATATTTAGATGAATTCTAAAATTTTATTTTTAGGCGGGATCACTTTGCCCTGTCTATTGCGGATGCTTGCAGATATTGAGCTGATTTTTGGTATGAGAGTGTACCAGATGATAAGTTACAGATTACAGAACAAATTTGCATTTCGTTAATTCCGATTCGATGATTTCTGATGGAATTAACAGCCTTTTTAATTTTCAACGGGAAGCAGATTACATTGGCCGGAAGATGACTAGTATTGCTTATGCTATACTTTCAGAATGTTTTAATATCATACTTCATGCCAGTCCCTAGAAAGTTTGTGCACTGACAATGGTAATTGTAGAATTTGATTAAAGTGTACCAAGTACATGGAGTTGCCGATTTTAGCAAATAGGCATATTACAGACCAAAAGCAATTCCTGGGCAAACCTAGCAGAAATTCTTGTTGAACTTTTGATTTTAAAAAATCGGCATAATAAACCTAATAAAAATTAACTTTCCTATTTTCGAAGGAAATACGTTCGCCGGTTAATTAAAATAAAAGAGTTATTACATGGCCGTAGGAACCGGGGGGGGGGGGGCACGACACCAATAATTTTGCCAATATCTGATATAGAGCACTATAGAAAACATAGATACTATATGCTTGTGCCCCCTCAATAAAAACGTCTGATGACCCCCTTTTTTGGTAGTTGATAGTGCCCCCTCAACTGAAAATGTTTGGCTATCCCCCCCCCCCCCCAAAAAAAAACAAACAAACTGAAATTGCTTCCAACGGGCCTGTATTAATGGAGAAGTAACGAATATCAGAATATCAGCATCGTTGCCGAAATTTAATTGTTCGAGGCAAGACTGATATGGGAAGGCCAACGAGACTTCGGGATGGTAGTACTTGTATAATATACTGTCTGTATTAAATTGTTTTTTAAAGTTATAATTTTGACCTTTACTTATAAATTAATATATCAAATACATGTACAGTATATATATAAAATGAAATAACTTACCACGATTATTTGGATTATTTAATGTTATAAATGCATCCTTCTTCCAACACAGCAAAATATTCGTTGTTTTGAACTGTAAGTTTAATTTCTCGAGACCGCATTCCATTGGTATGTAATTAAATTTGGCGCCAATTTTACTTCTCTAATGTATCTACTTTCATTTGAATTATAGGTACATTTATGTATCTTTTTCTGTTGAAAATTTGTAATAAGATGTTACTGATATGTCCCTATAAAATAGTCGGTGCTTAAATATATCAAGCTTTATAAAATATGCTTCTTGAATATATAAACAATATCAATATTATCACGTGGTTGTTGAGAAATATGGTGAACATGGGTGGAAATGTGTACCATAAATTATGATATGACGAATGTCATATGCGAAGATCATAAAAAATTGCCGTACTTTTCAATCATGTTCAATATGATATACTGTGTCCCTTTCCTGCCACGTAATTGGTAAGATATTTCTTCGAAGGCCCCAAAGGTATTGAACAGGAAAATTTACGCACCCACAGCATGCCATACTTTCAACATGGCGACTGGAAGCGATATCGAAATGAGAGATTATTGAATGACACATATTTATTATTAGTTGTTTCATTTTAAACTCTTTTCCTATATTTTGAAGTAAACCTGGACAACCGATAGGATTTCTTCAAACAGTCGCTGGAATGCAAAAGGTAAACATAATTATAATTGTCAAAACGAGGTTTGTGTTGCTTCATTATGCAGACCTCAAAACATGTGGTCGAGATTCCGTGTTATGATGACTGAAATTTCTGACGACATCACTGCTATATTTGCGTGAAAGAAAAATGTTCAATTACTCATTCATTAAAAAATAATAATCTGACTTGAGAAGAATGGCGTTATTGTATATGGTTGCAAAGAATGATTTAAATGAGAGATGGGTGGAGGATCCTGTTTCTTCTGACAGATTAGCATGGTATTAAAAGCCTTGTTATATAACTTTTGGGAAGGTGTATACTTAAAGTTCAAAGCGAATGTGCATATTTAGAACAGTGAAAGATTTGAAGAGAATGCTAAGCTTTCAATATAATGTTGCAGATCTTTATTTTGTTAAAGCGAAAATGGTTGTTATTGTTTGGTAGAATGTGTATGGTAATACATAATGGACAGTTACATCATGTACATGTATACATGTAAATGACAATCATGTATGTCAAACAAGGGGTATTAAAATTCATATTGAAGTTTTATTTGCATTACACTTACTATGCATAAATTTCTTGACCTCTAAGTCTCATTGCTATGTAAGATTGTTGAAGCTTCAAATAAACTAACTGTTTACTTAAAGTACATTTTCAGTGACATATTTTGCAGGTAGAAAGTAAATGGAGATGTCGACTGAAAACAATGATACCTCAGGCACTTCCGTTACAGAAGTAGCTCCAACTTCAACGGTAAATAACAGTGTATCCAATTCTGAAACTCCAGCCAATGGTGTGGAACATACAGATGTCAGCTGGCCATCAGAGGTTTGTTAGCTATTATTGGGGTGGTTCCTATATTACACTTAGGAAAACTTCCAAGATACTGCAGATAACTGAGGATAACGTTGAAATTTTTCACCCAAGAAAACCATTGTCAACCTAGGTGCAGCTGAGGTTGACAATGGTGTTCTTGGGGTGAAAATTTTCAATGTAACCCTCAACTACATGCAGTTATTTATTTATTGTATTATACTGAATTTTTTATAAAACTACAAATAAAGATGGAACATGCATGAAAAGATTCCATGCAGTCAATATTGTTTGGAATGTCACCTGTCATCAAGCAATATTGACTGTTGCAAAGTCCTATCATGCTGGAGGGCATGGTTTCATCATTCAGAGGGTATTTTTAACAAATGTTTCTCGGTGAATCAAATTCAAATAATTTTCATGAAAGCATATTTTATTTTACACTAGGGACAAATAAACATTTTGCTAATAAAATTGTACAGTTCTTAATTTGTTTTTCTTCAACCATAAATTTAGCTGAAAGGTTTTTAGAGGCATCAGATTTCACCTTGAAAGATTTAATGGCAAAGACTAGACTGTGACTCTACATTGAATTGTTCTGAAAAAATTATCACACCAGCATTTTCTATTTCAGGATAAGAATCCTTTCAGTGGATTTTCTGAGGAGCACTTAAGCAAACTGGACGAATTTCTATCATCAGAAGAGGCCAAGAAGATCTTGCAGCAGACATCTGAGGGCGATTTCTCGAGCACGATGGCAGAACTGGAAACAGCCCCACCATCTGCCACAGCAGAGGTCCTAGGAGAAGATCTCTTAAAGATGCTGGATGTAATGACAAGATTTCCTATGATTTTTGCACTGAAAAACATAAAATATTCTTTGTCATTAATTAATCTTTTTCATTATTTGGAAGGAATTTTAATGAATTTATTTATTTTTATAACTTTAAAATTTTTTACCCCCTGCTTATAAAGTGGGGAGTATATAGTAATGGGGATGACGGTGTCTTTACGACCGTGCGTTACACTTGGGTCTAGTCATCTCTTATTAGCAACTCGTCTTACACCACTGAAGGCAATTTAATGAAACTTTCACAAAATCTTTCTTACATAGTGGCATTGTGCAACTATTTTGTTTGGATCGGACACATATTTCACGTTTTCACTGCTTTTTTTATAAGATTGGGGGTAACCATCTCTTATCTGCAACTCCCTTTATACCACTGAATAAAATTTTAATGTGACTTTTACAGAATCTTTATTACATAACTAGTACCATTGTGCACCTCCTATTTTACATTTTGATCGGACAGATATTTGGGGTTTCCCATAGCAAAAAAAGGACTTTGCCATTATAATGCCAAGAAATGCTCAGTGCTCACAGTACCTCTAGTCTAGTTTATAACTTGGTTTTGAAGATATGTTTCATGTATTATTACTTGAAAAATATTTTTCATAAAAAGTATTATAAAAATCAATTAGCAATGTTATATTCTTACCTTCATTACAGTTTGATTAGTGTTGAAAAAGTTCTTTTGTTTTTGAAAACAGAATGGAAGCATGCACTCAACCAATTTAGATCATCCTTATTGTGTGAAAGTGCCCAAGCCAAATATTTCTAATGCTGTGACAACTAACTCTAAAGTAGTAGTTGTGCCAAATCCTGGAGTTCAGTCATCTGTAGTACCACCTCTTACTGTGGAAGCCACAAACACAAGCACCACCCCAACCACTTCCCCAAGAAAATCGGCGAGAATTTCACTCCGACGAGACCCTGAGGGGGAGCCAAAGGAAGAGAGTGAAGCAGAGTCCTCAACTACAGGCTTTGTGGGAGCAGTGCACCCTGGGATTGTTCAGCCTGGATTTGTGGGAGCAGTGCATCCTGGGATTGTTCAGCCTGAACATGCTGGTGTAGGAAGAGGAAGGGGGCGGGGCAGGAGGAGTCTAATACCTGAAGACACACCCACCAATATTAGGTACACGCAGAACTATTAAATTATTTATGTTCAAACAACAGAAAATCATGGCATGTTTAGTATAAGTTATCACTATGTGCCCCAAGGATTTATTTGGAGGACAAACGACAAACTTCAGATGTTGAAAATGTTTCATCTCTGTAAAATTTTCAGGCGATCCAGTCGTGTGAGCGATAAGGAACAGAGGGATTTAGCTGAGAAGATCAGACAGGAGAATCTTCTACAGGAAAAGGCAGCTTTAGAGGCACTTAGAAAACAAGAGGAACAAGAGGAAGAGAGTGTTAAGGTTTTAAGAAATACAGCATTAGTGATATATAATCAGAGAGATACTTGGTATTTATGCAAGTTTTCTCATTTCTCTTACTGTTTTGGTATTAAGGATTAATACAGTATAAAGTGTAGGGCTGTCACGGTTCTAAAATTTTTCGGGTCAGGTCGGTTCTGTAAATTTTCGGTTCGGTTTCGGGTTTTTCGGGTCTGTTATTTACATCTATTTTAAACCTTAATTTCATGAATTTAACTTGAAAAATCTTTGTTACATTAAATTTACATTGAAAACAAGTCTTAACCATGCCAACGTCTAGACATCGGTGACTTGGCCAACTATTAGCCACAACCTGACCATTCCTGCTCGTTTTGATAATAATCTAATACTTCCGTAACAAGTGTTTTGTCATGGAATGAAGTAGATTTCAGTTGTGATGTTTATTTATCACTGTTACCATTATCATTCCTTTGATTTCGACGGCATTTTTTGTATTGAACAGACTCTAATATATAAACCAGACCTGAACCGTAATCCGGAAAAATGGAACCGAAACCAAACCGAACAACTTGGACCGCGGTTCTTGGTTATTTCGGGTACTCGTAACAGCCGTAATAAAGTGTTTAACATAATTGTCAAGATTTCATACCTGACTTTTTGTGTGTGAAGCTTATTTAATCTTGACAATTTTTGTGTAGACGGGGCCCAGAAGAGGGAGACCTCCAAAGACTGAGGCCTTAGACACTCCAGAATCAGCACCCAGAGGCATTAAAGCCTCTGTAGCCAAGAATAAGAAGGTGGGTACACATACAAATACCATTATACATGTAACTAATGCTTTTATAGCTACATTATAAGTTAGCTGTCCCAGAGTCTTTGTGACATAAAGTGTACATGTAAAGAAACAAATCTACAGTGAATTAAAACTGAATATTTTTTTTTTGAGTGTGGGTTGCATTTTGTTTGTAGGGGAGGAAATCCCAGCAAGAATCTCAGAATGAAGAAGAGAGTAGTGAAGATGAAAGCCTTACTCCTAAAGTAAATAATAATGTAAAAAAAAAAACTCCATTAATTCTTAACTTTAAGAATTAACATACATGTATCTTGAGGAAAAATAGAAAATTTTCATGTACTTGTGATGCAGTTTTGGGATGCATCTTCAGAATTACACATTTTTTGGAATTTCACTAATTTCAGAGAACCTCTGCCAGGACTGCAAAGGGAAAGAAAGGGAAAAAGGTTGAAGAGGAAACCGAAGAATCTTCAGCAACAGACACAGATAAAAACAGCAAAGGAAAAGGGAAGAACAAACAAGATTCTGAGGTTGAGGATCCTCCAGTCAGGAGAGGAAGAAGACGGAAGAAGGATCAGACGATAGACAGTGAAAGTGAATCACCGAAGGAGCAGGGAAAGAGGCTGACCAGGAGTGGAGTGAAGGACTTATCAGACACAGATAATACTCCACAAAAGGGCAAGAAAGGCAGGAAAAAGGGAAAAGGAAAGGAAGAGGATGTGGAGGAGAAGGAAAGCCCAAAAGGAAAGAAAAAGGGAAAAGGAAAAGTGAAGGAAGATTCTTCAGAAAGTGAGGATGATCTTCCTTTGAAAGATATTAAAAAGAATAAAGGAAGTCCAAGTGAAAAGTCACCCAAAAAGAAAGGAGAAGAAGAAAGTGATGACAAATCAGAAATTGTAAAAACATCAGTCCCACAAACTCCAGGGAAGAAATTAGCTCAAGAAAAACACTCTGATGATTCTCCAAGGAGTATTTTTAAAATGTTTGAAAGTGGATTAATTCAAGAGGGACAACAGGAGACTGTTGAAGTTTCCCAGCCTGTTGTGTCCTCTCTGGTGACAGAGGTTTTGGAACTGCCCATAAACCCTGGTAAAAAAGCGGAACAAAGTGGAGACCCAGCGTCTGCAGATGTTGATGCAGCAGGGACAAGTGATCAAACAAATGCAAATGATTCTAAAGGATCTGAGCAGCTTACACTGGAGGTTGAAGCTAAAGTTGAGGAAGTTAATTATGAGGATTTCATAACATCCATGGGAGAACCTAAAGTTACAGCCAAGAAGGAAATCGTTGACAGTGACGTGAAACCAGCTAAACCTGTGAAGAGGAAACCACGGAAATCAGAGGAAGTCAAGGTAGATCAGAGCATGTTAGATTTGTTCAAACCTGATGTGGATGTGTCCAGCAAAAGAAAGGGCAGTGTTAGTGGGAAAAAGGAGGTGCCCTCAGCTGGAGAAGTGGCTAAATCAGGGGAAAAGACAAGTGACACTAAGAGAAAACTGTCAGTGTCTGATAAAGTCTCTAGTCATAAATCAGCAGATACTGGCAAACCAAAGAAAGACACAGGAACAGAGAAGACTCACAAAGACTCAGAGAAGGAAACATCATCTCATGAAAGGATTCGAAGAGATTCTGAAAAAGAAAAGATTAAAAAAGATGTGAAGAAAAGTATTGCTCATGGTAAAAATGAGAAAGATGAAAGTGAGGATAAAAAAGGAATTAAAGACGTAAAAGTGAAGGTAGGTAAAGAGGACAAGATAGGAAAATCTGATAAAGAATCTAACACAGCAGAAAAAGGTGCCGTAAAGAGTGAAAGTTCAGAAAAAATTAAAGACACAGAGAAATCTAAACAAAAGCAAGTGAAAATGGACACAAAAGAGGAGAAAGTTAATAAAGAAAGTGAAAAACTTAAAGTAAAGGATTCAGATATAAAGAAAACAAAGGATGAAAGTGAAAGTGTTGTTGCAGAGGAAAAAGACTCAGAGAAAGGTAATGCATCTGTTAGTGAAATCAAGGTGGAAAACAAAGAAGAAACAAAAGGAGAAAGTGAATCAGATCCTAGTGATAAAGACATTGATAAAAGGAAAAAAGATACAGATAATGATCATGAGAAAAAATTCACTGAGGGAAAAGTAACACAAACAGAAAAAGAAGTGTCTGAAAGTTTCGAGAAGACAGAGGAAACTAAAGAACCACTGAATGAAGAGGTGGGGGCTTCTCCTGGTGGGCGGGGACAAAGGAAGGCTAAGCTGAAATTCCTGAGGGAAAAACTGCCAGAAATGACCGAGAAAGAGAAAAGACCAATCAAAAAGAAACTGGTCAAAGAGAAAAAGCCAACTGAAGAGAAAGAAAAGGAAATAGACAGTGGTAATGTTTAATTTTAATTTATGTTAAGTAAGTGAGTGTTAATTAGATTAGTCAAATTATTGTTTAATTTAATGAGAATGAAGATAAAGCAACAAGTATAGTCAAACCTGATTATCTCCAACTTGATGCCCCCCCCCCCCCCCCCCCCCCCCAGAACTCAAAGTATTCAAGAAATTTACGTTAAAATACATAATGAAAGAATTCAAGATATTGAGGTTGAAATACACATTGAAATTTAGGGGCATCAAACTGACTTCGACATATGTATGGAAAGTTAGAGATGGCTAAGACACTAAGCGCTTGGGAGAAAAAACATGACCTGCTAAGAAAGATAACTCTGATATAGTATCTTATAATGTTTTATAAATCTGACTTTAGAAAAATAAAATATTTATCTTAATCAATGAATTTCTCAAATTCTGTCATTTACATTACATTAAATTTACTCAAATCTCATTTTCAACTCAATCTTCTGTTTGAAATTGTCATTATTGCAGAAAAAATACCTATGTATTGAGAAGACAAGAATTGAAATAGAAGGGGACATTTAAAAAGTAGGTGGGGATCTGGGGTTCCTCCCTTAATGGGGAGTTTAGGAGGAATACCAAAATAACTGGGGAATTACATCATTATAGGTGGGGAAATTCCCTGGCCCCCAGGTCTTAGGGACAACCCTGAGATGAGGTAATTTTTCTCTTGTAAGGCTAGATTTTTGAGCACTGACCGACATTTAAATACTTGTACTCACTTGTTTTCTTTTTAGATGATAGTGATGAGTTAAGCTTCGAGGATGATGAGAATGACTCGGACTATGAGGCACCAGGTGAAAAATACTGCATTTGTAAACAGCCATATGGCAAGAGGTAAGCAGTGTAGAATAACAGTATCATCAGAATGGTAAGGGTAAAGGTTTCTATAGTGACTTATGTAAACACCTGTACAGTAAGTTATGGGTAATATAAGATAGTGGTATCAAAAGCAAGGCACATTATTGTGTAAATGACCTTGTGGCAAACAAAAGAACTTCCCCAAACTTATAACATGATATATAAAGAGTGCAAGTCAGGAATGCATTGTATATAAATGAGGCAATTCAGTTGATGGTTGCGTTCTTTCTTTGGATAGGTTCATTATCTATTGATGATCTGACTTGGATTCTTTGTTTGGACAGGTTTATGATTTGTTGCGATACCTGTGAGAACTGGTACCATGGTTCCTGTGTGGGCATCACTAAAGCCCAGGGTAAAGAGATGGAGAAAAACAACAAAGAGTATCTGTGTCCTCCATGTAAAGGTCAGAAACAATTACTCTTTAACTACTTATAAATTTATAATAACAAGGAGTATCTATGTTCTCCACATAGAGGCCAGGAACAAGGATTCTGTATCCATTTATTTATTAAAAAAAAAAAAAAAATAGATCCTCTGAAACATTTCACTGTAATATTTATTGAGTTTAAGATAAAGCAGGAATAGTGAGTTTTATCATGTTTATGGCTAAAGTACCAATGTAAATCTTTATCTGTTAGCAGCCAATTCTATCATTGCAATGATATCATCTTTACAACCTATATACCTGCATGAACATGTATTTGTATGCACACTTTATAAGTATATAATGGTCTTACTCTGTTAAATAGAGAAGCAGGCTGGTCATAAGGAAAAAGTGGCTCACCCTGCAGACAGCACTGTGTCCAGCGATAAAGAGGAGAAGCACAAGAAAGTAACCAAAGAGGATAGACCTGGAAGTGGGGGGAAAAGGAAAGAAGGAGATTCTGAGAAACACAAGAAAGGAGAGACATCAGGAAGGAGGGACTCAGAGAGGTCTGATGAGGGGAAATCCAAGAGGAAAGTGGAGCATCACACAGAGTCCCCTCTTAAAAAGCTCAAGGAGGTAAATTAAGATATATATAAGAGATAGTATTGAAGGTAGTAAGCTACTTGTGTCTCTAATGATTTCACAGGTAAAAAAAAGATGCATGACAGAAAATTGTTTCAAACAAAATTAACTATTTCAAAAGTTAAAACGAGAGTCAAAATAAGAACTGCTTGAAACTAACTAGTTATATTGCTACTTTTATAACCATTGAAATGAATGCACTTTTATTTTGCAGGATAAACCCGAGGGAAGTAAGCCTTCCACCAATGTACAACCAGGTGATGAGAAGCGCAGACATTCTCTGGATTCCAAATCTCACTCCAAGAAAACACCCTCAAAGGAGAGATCTCATTCCATGTCAAAAGATAGAAATCACGGGGAGAAAAAGTCTGATTCAGTGAAGGTATAGTCATTATTATGTTGCTTGGGTTTTTTTTGAGAAAAGCATAATACAGATCATTTATTTCCATTTTTCACAGCTGCAGTTATCAGTATATATATAGGGAACTGAGTTGTTTAATTGATTTGAGTGCCAACAAAGCATATCATCAGTATTTCTGTCCAATGGAAACATTTCTAATTGTTATGAATGACAAGTCCAGAATTTAAATTGAGTTTAAGTTCAGTATGATTTGAAACCCTTAATAATTCTGTTACAGGACATTGCAGCACAGAGATGTGTCAATACTCAATGTAACAAGTACGCCAAGAGAGAGTCGGTGTATTGTGGAACAGATTGTATTCACCAGCATGCTAAAGACTCTCTGAGAGCCCTCAATCGATACGATGCAAAGCGGGGGAAAACTGTGAGTTATAAAACAAGTCAAAAAGAGCTACAGGGGTTTACTGTTAAAAGACAAGGATAAATGTGTTTCATTGAAAATCAAGCTGAAGTTTTCTTGTAAAATTGGGAAAATTGTCTCCTAATTCTCACCGAGATGTGAGATTTATAAGAAACAGGGTTCGACACTAACGTAAGTCCGTTAGTCTCAGACTAATACATTTTCATTCAGACTGATAAAATCTGTGGCTAATTAGTCCAAGCGGACCAATAAATTTTCCTGGAAAACAATATGAATAATTTACCAATGTCCGATTCTCCACAACTTTTACTGGAAAACCCTGCATTTATTTTTAGCTTTCTAGATTTTTGGTGGGTTGTTAGACAATTTCGAGTCAGTGCTTAATTTTTCGACTGATTGATATGAAGTAAATCGTTTTAGCGATCATAATTCATATGACACATAAAAGAAAGATGTCAGACATTTTGGATGTAATGTAAAGAGAAGAAGAACGAGATCGGGAATACGATCATACTCGTTGATCGCGAGATTTCAGCGAATCTGTGATGTGGAATAAACCACTTCATATAAATGCTTTGTTTATTTAAAAAAAAGTATAAAAACGTATGTTGAAATGTGTATTTTTAAATTTATGTTACAAAACATTGATGTTTCCTTTTATTGACGGACTCATAAAATTGCATGCAGACTAGTAAAAGTAAAGAAGCACTAGTCCGACCGGACTAAAGCCTAAAAAAGTTAGTGTCGAACCCTGAGGAAGAAATTTTATTATTTCTGGAAATTCCATTGCCAATAGATTTAATTTCTGTTAATATTTAACAGCATGGTCCACTTTGGCGTGTTCCTGTGAGGGAGAGGAAGACGGGGAGAGTGTACACTGGTTCTAATGCTCCACTAGAGAGTGTGCTCATCACATGGCTCCTACAACACCCCACATTTGAAGTGATCCACCCCAAATCCTCAGCCAGTGGAAGTAAGAGCTCATCAGCTGTGTAGTGCAAGCTAACATTATAAACTTTTGAAAATTGAAACTATTTAGCAGTGTATGTCTTTCAGAAGCACTTGAAAACAGGCATTGTTATATTGGAAGAAAGAAGTAAGAAAAAATTGATCCAAGAGGTGTCATTCAGATTATCAGAATTTTTGTGAAATATTTCTGTTAAGGAACTGTTACATGTATGTCAATTTTTTACAGGTCATGATAAATCCAAAGATCATCATCATAAAGAGAAATCCAAGCATCAAAAGTCCCCTGCTCATCATGACAGCAAGGATAAACACCACAACAGTAAAGACAAGCATGGTGACAGTAAAGACAAACCCGGTCATAGTGGTCCAGCCCTAGATAAGGTGTCAGACGAAGCTAAAGGCAAGAAAGAAGACGGGCCAGATGTCGTCCGCCTTAATGTCAGGAAGTCCCTCAGAGATGCTCTCTTAAACAGGTGAGGAAAGGCTTATTCATGTTGGGACTTTAGAAAGGATCAATTCACCAGAGTATATGTACCTTTCAATTAACCCAGACTTAATCATATAGTAACCTTTGTAAGGACTACGATATTTGTATCAATTCTTTGTTAGAAGTGGAATCTAGTTAATTTGGTCAAAGATCAAAGGTTCTAACTTACATTTGTGAAAGTTCCAGGTTGAAAAATTGATAGGTGTGCACAGAAATAGTGAAAAAGTGAGACACTCCTTTTGAGATAGGCAACATAGGCAACAAAATAACCAGTACATGTAATTTCATTTCAACAATGTCAACTTTAAAGATTTTCATATATTTTCAGTAGATTTTGGGTTCTTTATAAACATTTTTTGCATGAAATATAAACGAGTAATTCAGGATCATTTCTTGTTTGCTCTTGCAGGGCTGAGGGAGCTGATGATGTGATGTTGTCCACCATTGAGATCCGAACTATTGCTCTGAAGATAGAAGAAGAGCTGTTCGCAGTGTTTCAGGAAACTAGTCACAAATATAAGGCCAAATACAGAAGCCTCATCTTTAACATCAAGGATTCCAGAAACCAGGTGACCTTAAATCTGAACGCCATTACTGTGAACAGTTCTGCTTGTTATATATAATATGAATGTACGGATAGACTTTGAGCAAGGTGTATTTTTGCAATGCACACATTTTATAAGTACAGTGGCGCTGCGTTTATCCAGACGCCATTTATCCGGACGACATTTTTTGGGAACCGATTTTTTCCATGTTGTCTCAATAATCCGGAAATTCATGTTCCGCATCCAGACGGTCAATTTCTACTACAAAACGTAATAGTTCATTGAAAAATGACTCGTTTATCCGGATGGCAATTTTTTAAGAAACGGCTTTTTCACATGCATCTTGCAGTAGTTTTAATTGGTGTAAAAACATTGGCCATGCAGTCAGTTTGAGTTACCTGTGACCTACAAACAATAGCGTCTATGATTAGGGTGTGTTTACCCCCAATTAAATCACACATCTATAATGAAGCTCGAAGAATTTTGCTTATACAGTGCATTAATTAAATAATAATCCATTCAAAATCATATTGCTAACTGTATATGCATCTGAAATTCATGAGAATTTTGGAGAGTTGTAAATAAAATGAACAATAAATCACCAGCGATTTTGTAATGGTCTTGATCAGATCATGTTGATTGCGTTAGTTTAAAATATGATTTTCCATGTCTAAAAACGTAAATGTATTTTAAGCGCGTTTTCCCCCATTAGACAGTTAGAAAAGGTACATAGTTGAAAAAATATTTTTCCTATTTAATGTACTACTGTCTATAAACATAAATTACTTTAAAAAAGATATATAAAACTGGCATTACGTATAGAAGTTGATTACATTTTTCGAGGTATTTTTGTGATCGAAATTCAAACTTTAGAAAAAAAATAATGATAATCATTAAGATTGTTTGTGTTTACGTTGAATTTTTACAATACTTTCACTGATTGTGCGTGTTTGAGATAGCTTACAGTGTTCGGTTACTATAGTAGCCCTGTGTAAAGAATATACGGGAAATTACGGGGTTTATATTTAAAGATTTTCAATGATGATGCTGAACAGCTCTGACATATCATATGAGCTTCAATAAATATAATATATGGCGAAATAAAACAACAGTATATTAAAATTTGCTCAGCCCATGAATTCACATGCCAAAGACAAGGCGAATAAAATTCCCTGAGTTAAAAAAGGAAGTCTCAGCATAAAATTGCCTATCAATTTTTTTATTGTGTAAATTACATTTTTTAATATATTTTTCTTTACTTAATTACTTATTTTAAAGCTAAGAAATAAAAACATTAAACCATGCAAAATATCAAAGTTTTTTCCCTTTGCCTTCACATTTGATACCAGTATGTGCATATACATGTACACATGCTTGGAGAAGGTTTTTTTAGAAGCGATTCAATTATCCGGACAATTCATTTATCCGGATGTTTTCGTAGGGGACAGAGGCGTCCGGATAAACGAGGCGCCACTGTAAATACTTGTACTAACATTGGGGAGGGTTCTACATGGAATTACAAGTATATACAGTAGATTATGAAGTTTTCAAGAAAACCTTTTCGAAAGATAGTTATTGGTATTTATTATCAAGAAATTATTTTTTTTCACTAATCCAGTTTATTGTTGTACAAAATCTTCAATAATGCAAATAAAGGTGATAAAAATATTCACTTAACAAATATGCACAGTGTATAATGCCCACTTGCAAATTTCCATGTTTATAGCACTGATACAATAAATTACATGTATATGTATATTGCTATTAAGCAGACATATGGTATTTTGAACACAGAATAGAAATGGTGTAGGTCCAAGACCCAAAAAAACTTGTATTGTTTATTAATAATGTGATCTGTTTACTCAGGGTCTGTTCCGTAAAATCCTGAATGGACACATCAAACCCAGTGAGTTGGTGAAAATGACCCCCGATGAGCTGGCATCAAAGGAACTAGCAAAATGGAGAGAATTTGAAGCTAAACATGTAAGATCTATTTTAACATTCAATAATTGACAAATCCGTTTACATTTATTTTGCTGTTTTTACTGTTTATATACAGACATAAATAACATTCAAATGTTAAATCCACTAGACTATTTTGTCCATATGCTGGGTTTTTTGGGAGTGTTGATAAGTGATACTTTTATGCTTGTTAACTCTAGTGTATTGGTAACTTATTAGTAAGAGATAAGATCATGTAATGATAGATATTAATAGATACTTATTGTAATAATTCTAGACTAGCTTGTTTTTGACTTAATTTAGTTGGTTTTGCTATTCCGTCAGTAAAGTAAGTTTTTCTGTGAAGTACATGTATTTCATATTTAGCATTTTTTTCTTTGCATAGCACAAAATTCAAATACAGGTGTAAATCTTAAAAAAAACTTGGACAATGGTAATCTTTGTATATAATGGAGGTTTATAAAATTGTGGTTTTATTAATTAGCAACTGGAGATGATTGAGGCTGTGGAGAAGGAGCACATGATGGAGGGACAACACATTGTGAAGAAAACTCACAAAGGCGAGATTGATATGGATGAAGATCTCAGCACGCTAGAGGTAAAGATTAATTACATCTCAGCTATAACATACATCTCAGCAGACTTCAGGTAAACCTGGTTACATCTCAATTATTACATGTATCTCAGGGTAATGGAGGTAAAGAAAGATTACATTTCAGTTATTACAAAAATCTCAGTATGCTGGAGGTAAAGTTGATTACATCTCAATTATTATTTACATCTCAACTATTACATATATCTCAGCAAGCTGGAGGTAAAGCTAGGTTATATCTCAATTACTTGTATTTCATACTTTTATATGTAGTATAGTAGTCTTGACTTTGAACTAATCTTAATGTAAATCATACTTGTATTTGTAAGTTTAAATGAGGGTTTGTGTCCAGAATATCTTCTGTTCATCAGTTCATTTTATCTCGCAAATCTAGAGGAGAGTTGGAATCGAGTACAATTAACAATTTGTAAATGAATTTCACAGGATAAAGGAGTAGGACGGGAGAAGAAGCATGATACATCACAGGAAGAGGAGGCTAACACAGAAACCTCAGATGTCATCATGGACACCACCGGGCAGCATAAATTACACGTGTTTGACCTTAACTGTAAGATCTGTACAGGGAAAGTGGCCCCACCTCTAGAGGAGACCACCCCTAAAAAGGAAGTGACTGTAGCCAAACAAGTACAGGACTCTCCCAAGGTGAGGCCTTTAATTTGAAAGGACAAGAGAATTCTTTCAGAGAAATGGTCATTCTAAAGGAAGCTAATGCTAAAAGTTTAATTATTCCCCCCCCCTCCCCCCCCCCCCCCTCCCCCCCCCCCCCAAAAAAAAAAACATCATTGTCCAGGTTGCTATTATTATTGGGATGTCAGTTTGTCTATTCACAACTTCAAGCTTGGCAATATGTTCTAGTCCTTTCTTTAAAGCAAGCTTTCATGTTTGACCAGATGAAAGATCTTCTTATCTTGCCATGTCAAGGTCAACATCAGTTAGAAATGTAAAATTGACTGACATTGTATTTATACACAGGCAGTGTATTTCATTACCATACATGTATATTGTTACAGTATGTATTGCTAATATCTACAGAGTGTGAAAGAAAAGCCGCAGCATAAGAAGTCTGAGGAGGATCAGAAGAAAGCAGAGATGGTTGTGAAGGAAGTTCTAAAGGCAATACAGAAAGCTAAGGCTGAGGTTCCATTGGCTGACTCTACGGTCACTGTCAGGTAAGATTAGCACTGCGTACCAGCATGACCAGGAGACTGTCGTCACAGGTTTTTATCTTCATCACTTCATCAATAGGCAGTCTGAAAACTTGACTTGGTTTAAATGTGAACAATATGAGAAATTAGAAATGGGGCAGATTTTTTTGTAATACTAATACTGTGAAATCATCATTGTTCGTGGTTCGTGGTAACCCTTACCCATGAATTTACATCCCCATGAACAACTATTTTGTCAACATACTGATTAATTAGATCTGCCAAATAAATGAGCTGCCCATGAAATTACATCCCCACGAACCAATAAAATTTTGCTTGCCCACGAACATTGACCCCCACGAATTTAAATGATCCTACAGTACATCTAGACAAAAATAGCATGAAACAAAACTTTTCTAGTATGTCGAATCATCTGTGTGAAAGGCCTTGTATGTGTTACAGTCAAATGGTGAGGGAGTGTTTCAATTGAATGATTTGACTAAATCTTGTTCATTGATCATTATACTCAGATAGTGGATATTATTTAATCAACAGATCTCCTGATTCGGCCTTGCAGTCAGGATTAGAGAAGCCAAAGTTTACCCCATCTGGGCCTCAGCTATGGAAGGGTTTCATTCAGATGCAGGATGTGGCTAAGTTTGTAACCACAGCTTATCCTGTGTCAGGACAAGCAGACAAGCAGGTCATTAGTGTTCCAGTCTTTTAGATTTTCACTGTATCAGTAAAACATGCTTAAAGCTTACCTTCATTGACAGAAAAAATTATTTATGATGCATGTATCAAGTTATCTATCTTAATTTTGTACATGAAGACATTACTTTGTTTAAAAAAAATCTTGACTTTGTTTCAAGCACAGAGTTAAACAAATAATGTTTTTTATAAGTTTCTATAAGTTTTGTTATTGTACAGGATCTACCAGACACTATCCATGTATGTGGAAGAATTGGACCCGAACAGATCTGGGACTACTTGGCAAAAATGAAGAAAGTAGGATCTAAAGTATGTACATTTAATAATTTTATACAAGTGGTTTACTGGTAGCTATTCAATATGTAATAGTTTTTGTTTGATGCATCTTTAGCCTTGCACAGCTAATGATTCCTAGGTAGTTACACTGTTTTAAAATACTTAATTTCTGTTGCTGGTATAGCACCCTTCCTTTTTTCCAAAAAGTACATACATTTATCTTCTATTTTTTGTTGTGAAAATTTTGTAGGAGATTTTATCCTTGTTTTATCCTGTTCATCTTGATCCTCAGTGACTAATTTCAAAACATTGTGGTTTTTTTTAAAGAGAATGCATATTCATAAAACTGTAGAGAAGCATACTTGTTTTGAGTAGATTGAAAGGGATGAAAATACTTTTAATTCATTAAGACAAAATAGAAAATGTGTGCAAAATTTTAAATGAAGTTTCAATGAAAACTAAATATGAACATTTTGTTTGTTTTAGGACATAGTCATACTAAGGTTTATTCCTGGTGGAGATGAAGAGAAGACACATTATATAAATCTCTACTCCTACCTGAACAGTCGAGCCCGCTGTGGGGTGGTGGGAAACAAAGCCAAACACATCAAGGATTTTTATATCCTCCCCCTAGCCTCCCACAGTCAGATTCCCTCTGTGCTTACTCCGTTTGATGGTCCAGGTACAGTATACAAACTAAGGTGTGGAAAAATTGCCATTGTAAAAATAGAGTCAAATCTCATTATTTCAAACTTGATGGGGCTGAGAAAAACTTCAAGATAATTGAGCATTAGAGATATCAAGGTTGAAATCCATGTACATAAAGAAAAAGTGGTTGGGACTTCCAGCTCACTTCTATATGTCCATTGAATTGAGATACTGGTGTTAGAGATAGAGTTCAAATGTATTAAAAACAAAACAAAGGAGTTTTAATGTTGTTTGCATCACATAAACTGTAGGTGACAAACTGCTCTCCATTTCTGTAATTTGTCACATTTTCAAAATCTCCTCCAGAGGCACCCATTTTCAACCAATTTGCCATAAAGCATCCTTGTATGATTGGAATTTAAGCTTGTTCAAATTTATAATTATGGGCTTTGCAAAGAGAGATAAATACAGAAATAGAGAGTTAGGTGGTGTTCATTTAAACAGCAGAAAAAAACTTCTATGGAAGTTTCTTATGTGTTTAAGTTTCAATTTGAACAAGACAAGGCACATATGGGTTCATAGTATAAGGGAAAGTGTTCTAGAATCTGTTAAAGAACCACAGGAAAACAAATTGACAAAAAATTCTTTATGGCAACAATAGGATGAGGTCTGCAGAAGAAAGTAACAATATAGGGGGAAAAATGAAATCATAAAGAGCATTCATAAAATTTTAAGTGAATACATTGTTTTAATGTATAAAGTGTGAAAGTTTATGTCTATTTAATGTAATTTATCTAAAAATATGATAAGACAAAAGTTTTTTGTCAAATTAGGATTCATTTCAGAGTCATTTTGGTGATGTCTTTTATGGAAGACCTAGCTGCCAAAAATTTGTTAAGGTACATGAAAGGTTTGCTTAAAAACCTTTCTGTAGGTACGAAGTTTTTCTGAATCAGCTTAGAGCACACTGCCCTGGTTGTGATGATGACAAAAAAAAAGAAAACATCTTGTAACCAAAATATTTGAGTTACAACATGTCAGCATTTAGTGCTTGTATATTAAGCAGATGGAGTGTTTTAGCATGTATTTGAACTGCAAACTATATTGTTCAAACTTTATATTTTCAGGTTTGGAGGATAATCGTCCCCATATGTTACTGGCAATCATGGTCAAGCAAAAGCAAAAACGTCATAGTGACCATGATCATCACCATGACAGCAAGAAATCCAAACACGATTATGAACATCATCGCAGTAAGAGTAGCAGCAGTAAATCCTATGTCCCTCCAAGTTCAAAAAGTTCATCTAAAGGTACATATGATCTTTACAACACCATCAGGGAGATAAAAGAAATTGAGCAGTTATTTTCAACATTCATACATGTAATATATGGCGTGTCATATTAAAATACATTCAGACCAGAGAAAGAAGAGAACAGAAATGAATGAAACCTTTTTAAGGGATTTGTGTTTTTAAAACCCATTCCTCAATTATATATATATATAACCGTGTATAATCAATCAAATACAAATCAAAATCAGCTTTTATAAACTCATCTAGTATTGGTTAATGCCATCACTTTGCTTTTTGTCCTTGTCACAGTGTTAAATTTATGAAAATCTTCCCGAGTTGGCTTATCTATGATTTCATTTCAACCAATCTTAGCATCAACAATCAGAGGAGGCATTTATTTTAGAATGTCAGATTTTCATCATATCAACTAACATAGCAGGTATTATTGGAGAAGATACAGCAGTATGGTCAGAATAAAGAAGTGCAATGAGAAATTTCTTATACAATGAGTTAAAAGTTCAATTGTTCCAACAATAGTTTGCATCATTTTTGTTCAGAAAAGCACTTGAGGCTCATTGAAGACCTTTGAGTACTATAATTTCTCCTGTGTCCGTTGCTGAATTATCAGAAAATTGCCATTTATTTTTTGTCTGTTGATTATATTTGTATTTGTGAATTGGATGATAAAATTATGTGTGTAATAACAACACAGACTGCACATAAATTTTTGCATGCCTTGTGGTGCATGTTATTAATGGTGGAAGGGTATTCACAGCAACTTTATTATTTAACAGATTCATCCAGATCTACTAACAAGTCTTATTATGATTCTTCATCATCTGAAACAAGCACCCCTAAATCAGGGGGTGGCACCCCAAAAGTTCCCCCGAATCCTGGAACCTCTACGGAGAAAAGTGACCCCATCATAAAGGCCTACGGAAAAGGGGCAGGACTTGTAGATGATGATAATGGTAAATGGATGACAAAAAGAGCTGCTTTTCTGTTGAAAGTTGATAGGAAGTGTTTGATATGACTGAATCTCTGTTTCCAATTTTCAGATCAAGAGAGCCGAGCATCTGCAGAGGATATTCCTTATGATCCAGAGGATGACTCGCAGCTCCCCTACAAGAAAGCCAAGGTAGACCGAGAGGATAAGAAACCTGTGGAGAAGCCATCATCAGCCTCCGTAACAGATCTTATAGCCAGGATCTCTAAGTGCAATACACCGGCAGAGTCCACTGCCCTTACTGTGGCAGCTCTCGCCACACTCAAGTCGACACAAGAAAAGAGACGATTTCTACTGGATCTCACTTCTAAAGTTGAGGAGCAGAAGAAACTGTTGGAAAAGAAAGAAGTGGCCAAATTAACGGCCAGAACTTTAGTGTCGGCAATTTATGCCATCAGTGCAGCTTCAAAAGCCTTGATTCCTGCTGCTAAAGCTGCAGCCAAGGTAAAATCTCCAACTGTGTTGCAGCAAACAGCAACATCTACAACAGAATCTCCCCAAGCTAGTACAGATTCTAAACCTGCTGCAGTTGTGCAGATATCTAGTGAAGAACAAAGTGTAGTGTCTGAGAGCTCAAAGGCTACACCAACTACTGATGTTATGAAGGAGACCAAGTCTGTATCATTTTCATCAGAAGTGACTGTGACACATGTGGCAGCAGGGGAATATGCACCAGAGGAGTTGAATTCGGGTCAGGATGTGGACATGCGGATTGGCACACAGCCACCAGTGTTGAGTAAACCCAGTGAAGAAAAAGCTAGTTCAGAAATCAGTGTGACTCCACCAAGCTTTTATGTGGAAAATCCTGTTTTAGCAAATCAAGATACTCCTTCCTTAGAGGAAGCAAATAAACCTGTGAATCCATCAGATATGCCAGAGGCTCTGAAATCTTTGTTTTCAATAATTCCTGGTGCAAACTATAATTACATGAGCAATATCAAAGACAAAAGTGATGTGGGATCAAAGGAAAAAGGTAAGGTGGAAGCTTATTCCACTTCTACTGGACAGTTATCCACTACACAAAAAGTGGAAGAAGTGGAGGAGGGTCAGGTGGAGAAAAAGAACACGTTTAATGTGTCCCTTTTGGACTTTGACTATGGAGATTCAGACAGTGATGGTGAAGATTCTCCAAAAAATTCTAAAAAGGAACAAAAGACTCAAGAACAGGAAACTCCCAGTGATTCCAAGGAACTGAAAACCAAAATGGAAGAATCTGATTCAGAATCAAAAGGTAGTCCTCTTAAAAGCTACATGTACTTAGATTTTCAATTTTGTTTTAAAGAAACATGGTTATAAATGCATGATGTCAAATGTACAAAGGTTTTGCTGCTTTTTTTTAATTTTCATACCATAAAGATACAGTGTAAAAGATATTTGAATGACAGAGTGGTTGAAATTTTTTTCAGACACAGAGGCAGAAGAAAGGGATAGAGAATTGATGCCCCCTCCACCTTTGCCTGTGACCCTGTTAAAAGACAATGGAACCCCACCCCCTCCAGAGTCAGATTTGCCTCCTTTACCCCCAGAGCCTCCTCCCCCTCTCCCTGAACATGAACCAGAGGAGGAAATCCAAGAGGACAATAAAAAGAAGAAAAAGAAAGCACCCAAGCCCCCTCCAGAAATTGTTCTTACTGCTGTCAACCCAGTTGGCAAAGCAATATTACAAGCTACTTATCAGAAACTGGAACATCAGAAAATTCAACAAATGAATGTTCCTCCACCTCCCTTGCCCCCTCTGTCCCTTGCACCAACAGGTGTTCCCCCTCCTACAGGTGTGCCCCCACCTATGGGATTACCTCCTCCAACTGGTGTTCCACCCCCTAATTTACCCCCAATGTCATCCAATGCTCAGAACATGCCAGGACCATCAACATCAATTATGCCAGTTTCAGGGCCACCACCTCCATTTTTGCCTGGTTCAGGGCCACAGTCAGGATTACCTCTGTTATCTGGGCCCCCTCCTCCTATATCTGGTCCACCACTTTCTTGTCCCACACAGACATTGCCCTTGCCAGGACCTTCACAGTCTGGAATGCCTCCCCTTGTGCCTCCTCCTATTCCTGTTCAGGGTGTGCCACCGAAGTCAATGCCATTACCTATGCCTATGGGCACAGGCCCAGAGGGGCCACCTCCACTTCAGGGTCATCCCCATATGTCACCTATGGAGGACCAACGCCATAGACCACACAGACAACACATAGAAAAAGGTTAGTTAGATCCCCAAATGTTGTAATCAACCAACCGTTATTTTCACAAATGTATGATTGGAAAATGTGTGTGTATTATTTGATGATTGTTGAAGATTTTGTGGCATTGGCATGATTTGTTGATTGGGTTGATACATGTAAGCTTGCTCTAATGCCTCTCTGTCCTATGCAGGATATGCTGGTAAACCGTGGGAGGACACAAGCTTGGTGGACGAGGCCTTGACCTTGCCATTAGAGGACCAGGATTTCAGAGATCGGGACTTCAGGTAACCACAGAAAAGTTTTCCAATTGTCTTAAAATTATTTTCTTTGAGAATTCGTCACCTCTTCACAGGAATGTTTATCTACAGCTGCATTACAAAAAAACGTTTCATATTAAAGGGACAATTTTCCATTCAAACACTTCATTATGATTTTGTATATGTTAGATATTTTTGACCAGTATCTGGAAAGAATACAAACAAATATACATTTATGTCAATGGATAGATGATTTCTGTCTATCCATCCATTCGTCTATCTGCAGCAACAGTTTTGTTCTTTGTATTTAGCTCCATTGTATATGTATAGTATGACTACAAAACTTAACATACAATCAAGTAAAATCAAGATGAGAATTTTTACGTTCCAATATTAAGGTTGACCTTATAGCCTTGATCTTGACATACATGTATATATTAGATAAAAGACAATAAGCATTACATTTTCTAATCCTCATCTCTCCTTGCTTCACATACTGGATATTTCTTAAATACCACTGTCAGAGTTGCCTTTGACCTCTGACTTTGAATTTGTAACTATACTTCGAAATTGATGATGATTTCAGACATGTTTGTCTTTTACTTTCATAAAGAATGACTGAAGAATATGATTATCTATAACATTTTGAATTACAAGTTTCATGTAAACTTTGACCTGAAACTCTTCTCTGTTAATGATTTTGTTGGGGTATGTTTGTCTTGATTCTTCAATGGCCGTATTTTCTGTTGCTAACTTGCTATTTCTTACGTCTAACTTAGATGTTAATGGCTAAGCAGACAAATAATTTGAAGTCTGTACGTGTTATGTCAGAATCAGTAACACAATGATTCACCCTTCCTACACATATAAAAACTCTGCTGAACAAAATCTAAAATCTTAATGAAATATCAAAAGTGAATAACCTTTTGTGTTGAGTTCAAATTACAGTAAAGCATGCTTTTAGTGAATTACCAGGGACAGACAACATTGCTTCATTATAAACGTTATTCGTTATATCTGTTAAGTTCAGAATGCTATTAAAAAACCAAGGGGAAGCGTAAATTCATTAAAAGCATGTTTTACAGTAATATTTGAAATCATTTACATACTGTTTCATTTTTTCTTCTAAATATTATTTTAAAGGCATGGGGAGGATGTTGATGAAAGGAAACAGCCTTGGAAAGGTCAAAGACAAAAGTTCCCTCCTCCCTGGGCCCAAGATGTGGACCACAGACACAATCAGGACACTGGCCCACCTTTGGGCTCCGAGGACAGGGATTTCAGACATTACCCCCGTGGTGAGGACCTTGATTACAGATCTAGAGACTATTCCAAAGACAATAGGCTGGAATACGAGGAAGACCAGGACTACAGGGCACAAGAGAGGGGGCATCACAGACGGCGGAAAAAACGACGACACAGCCCCGAGCATTCTTCATACAAAAAATCCCGACATCATGACAGAGACAAGCATTATCATGGTCATGATGACAAAGATGATCGGAGCAAAAAGGAGGAGGAGAAAAGTTCTCAGCAGAAAAAGGAGACTGATTTACCAAAGCCTGTGCCTCCACCTGGGGTGGTTTCTACAAGTGATCCCCCACCTGGAGGGAAACCTGGGCCTTCTTCCCATAGAGCTCCCCCTCCCCGGTTACAGCCAGCTCCTCCTGGAGTGGATGACTGGGAATAGCCTTCACCACACTTACACCTATCATGTCTCGGCGATTACTGTTGTTCTTTATTTGTTGTAATTCATTGCCTTGTGAACAATTATGAAGATAGTATTATTTTTAATTCTGACTCTAGCTGTATGGAATGAGGTGGAAAAGTATCATTATTTTGTGGTATATTTTACTTATTTACTTGCTGTCTGCAAGTTGTGTAAAAGTTCATTGAAGAAAAAAATATTAGTGTTTCAAAAGAATGATAGGAGGTTGCTTTTGTATACATGTATGAACATTTTGTATAATGATAAAAGAATAATTGGAGGTTCTGATTTTGAAACTTTATTGTAGATATAATTAATACAATATACATGTTTATGTCTATGAACAATTTTTTTCTGTTAATGACGTAATTTTAAGAAATTTGGTATAATCATGAAATTATCACTATATTTTTTGCTGTCGACATTCTTATCACTTATTAAATGGCATTATTTTTTTTTTTTTTAGAAATTTCTGTACAGAAACAAGATAGTACAGAAGTTTAATGACGCTCCCCCAAAAAAAGTGAAACTGAGGTGAACTTAGATCATAGCGTTTTGTCTGGAATAAAATTTGAAGTAGCTGTTTAGGTGAATGTAGATCTCTATATTTTAAAATCTCATTTGTATATGAAGGTGGACATCAAAACACAAGGTAGTTATCTTCAGTGTCAAATTCAAAACATTGAACAGTCATGCAGCAATTTTAACTGTAATTTCTTTGGTTGAGAAATAGCAAGTTGAACCTTTACAGAAAGCATTCATATTTGTGATTAATTTTTTTAGCTCATCTGAACTGAAGGCTTAAGCAAGTTTTTTTTAAATCAAAATTTGGTGTCCATCTATGAGACCATCTCTCTGTTCACTGTCTGTAGATTTTTCTCCCTTTTAACTTCTTCACTATCACTGACCAATTTGAACAAAATAAGGCTCATATCTTAGGATAAAGGTAGTTCAGTATTTTCAAATTGGGAGTCATATCTTTAAGTGATAGGGAAAATGAAGTTGGGACATTGAAATAATTGGACCAGGTAAACAAAACTGAATAGAAAGCAAATCTTCAAATCCTGATATTGCAAGCATCCTATAATGTAGCGTTTATTCCAATTTGTGCTCATCTAAGCAGGCATCAAAGTAGGTCTATACAAGGTATACAGATTTTAGTTTGATGTAAAGATTGTAAAGTTCAAAGAATGGATTTATATTTTCATTTTGGATGTCTCCCTTCCAACTATTATATGTAATTTTAATGTTAACCTACGTTACTGATGTTTTGCAATCTGAATGTGTTGGCATTTACATGTATGTCAACAGAAATTGTATTGTTATTACTTACGAAATATTCATTTGGCAAATGTCAATATAATTCAGACAGCAGTTCAAGCTCATGCTGCTTCAGACTGGGACTTAATGCCCTATTAGTGTAAATTCCAGCAAAATAAGGACAAAGTGGATTATTTCCTCCCAGCTCATGCTTTTTAGACTATCAAGACTTTGCTGCATCCAGTTCTGTTTAAATGAATTGGAAATTAAGAGAATTTATATTGTGTAAGGACTTGTATCCTTTGCATTTATATTAATTCTTCAATTATACAGAAGTGCCCGTTGTGAGTTTTACAGCTTTGTTTTTCATTCAAATGTTGATGAATTTGTTTCATTTGATAGAGTACTTGTTGAAATGTTTTAGTTGCGATGATTGGGTTTTGAACGTACCTTGTACATGGTAAATAAATGAATTAAAAACCAGTGTATTATCTTTATGTCATCTTAAGTACTAATTTTTTTTTAGCTCTACTGGTCAGAGACCAGAAGAGCTTATGCGATAGTAAGGTGTCCGTCGTCTGTCCGTCTGTCTGTCTGTCTGTCTGTCTGTCTGTCTGTCTGTCCGTCTGTCTGTAAACAATTTTTCAAAACGCTACTCCTCCTTCAGTTTTGGTCCGATTTCAATATAACTTGGCACACAAGTAGACTATACTAAGATACATAATTTAGTGCATCGGTTTTTGATTTCGATGGACGGTGTTGCCATGGTTACTAAAAATAGAAATTTCTGTGAAATTCCTTTAAAACGCTACTCCTCCTACAGTTTTGGTCCGATTTCAATATAACTTGGCACACAAGTAGACTACACTAAGATACATAATTAAGTGCATCGGTTTTTGATTTTGATGGACGGTGTTGCCATGGTTACTAAAAATAGAAATTTCTGTGAAATTCCTTTAAAACGCTACTCCTCCTACAGTTTTGGTCCGATTTCAATATAACTTGGCACACGAGTAGACTACACTAAGATACATAATTTAGTGCATCGGTTTTTGATTTTGATGGACGGTGTTGCCATGGTTACTAAAAATAGAAATTTCTGTGAAATTCCTTTAAAACGCTACTCCTCCTACAGTTTTGGTCCGATTTCAATATAACTTGGCTTACAAGTAGACAACACTAAGATACATAATTTAGTGCATCGGTTTTTGATTTCAATGGACGGTGTTGCCATGGTTACTAAAAATAGAAATTTCTGTGAAATTCCTTTAAAACGCTACTCCTCCTACAGTTTTGGTCCGATTTCAATATAACTTGGCACACAAGTAGACTACACTAAGATACATAATTTATTGCATTGGTTTTTGAATTCAATGGACAGTGTTGCCATGGTTACTAAAAATAGAAATTTCTGTGAAATTCCTTTAAAAGACTACTCCTGCTACAGTTTTAGTCTACTTCTAATATAATTAGGCATACAAGAAGACTATACTAAGATACATAATTTATTGCATTGGTTTTTGAATTCGATGAAGAGTGTTGCCATGGTTACTTAAAATAGAAATTTTTGTGAAATTCCCATTAAACGTTACTTCTCCTACAATTTTGGTCTGATTTCAATCTGATTTGGCACACAGTTAGAATACACTACGATACATAATATGTATTTCTGTTTTTTTATTTGAGTGAATGGTCATGGTTACTAAAAATAGAAATTTCCATGAAATACTTTCAAAACGCTACTCCTCCTACAGTTTTCATTTGATTTCAATATAACTTGGCACAGAAGTAGACTACATTAAGATACATAATTCTAATTATTGTTGCATGTTGCAATGTTTCAAATCCAAGTGCTACTTTTCTTTTGTTATACAAACAGACCAGTAGAGCTACAGTCTCATCAGAGACTTCTGGTTTGTTTATTGTTTAACGTTCCTCTCGAGAATTTTTCACACGTATGGAGATGCCACCACTTGACGGTGGAGAGCTGCAAATTTTGACCTATACTTGGCACTCAGGGCCATTGAGCAGTGAGGGATCTTTTTTGTGCCAGCACCTACTGAGACACTGGACCTCGGTTTATACAGTCTCATCCGAAGGCCTGGTCTTCACGCCCCACAGTGGGATTCGAACCCGAGACCTTACTCCGCTACTCTAGAGCGAACGCTCTAACCACTGCGCCACGCGGGCAACTCTCAAGTACTATTAATGAGGACTAAAGAAAGTTAAAAGGCCACATTCCTCACAAACCGGAAATAAATGTAGGGTATAGATTGATTGGTTGTATGTTGTTTTACGTCCCATTCGAGAATTTTTCACTCATATAGAGACGTCATCATATACCGATGAAGGGCTTCAAATTTTGACCTCAGGGCCATGAGCAGTGAGGGATCTTTATCGTGCCAACGCCTGCCGTGACACGAGACCTCGGTTTTTAAGGTCTCATCCGAAAGACCCACAACTTTCACTTCAAAGTGCCGAGCGCATGGCGAAGGAACAGTTGTTACCTATTTTTTATCGACTTGGGTCAGTCGTGGCCGAGATTCGAACTCACGACCTTTCGATCACGGAGCGAGCGCTCTACCAACTGAGCTACCGTGACGGAAGGGTATAGAAAAAGTGAGAAGAGCAATGCAAACGTCGCAAAGTACACCGCTAGGAGCTGAGGTTTGATGACATCATACAACAAAAATGTATACCAGGGTCTACAGAATTTGTCATTCATGCAGTGGTACATGAATATTATTATTATTACAATGCTTTTAATTCTCTTTTAAAACGTGTAGTTATTTTATGCTATTGCAGTCTTGAGTAAATATTCCTGTTGATTTCATACTACTAGTATGTGAAAATTACTTGGTATTCCATTGTCATACAATTTTTTCCTTCATATACTTTATTTTTCAATCTGTTGTTATGCTCTTGAAAATCTTCATTAACGAACCATGCACTGTTTAGCGAAACCTACCCCAACGGACCAAAGGATGTATTCGAAATTTCAAAAGATTGACCTTCAGGAGAGAACAATTTCCTGGAAAAAAATCACACTTCAAAATCGGTGTTAATTAGTTTCTTTTGACCATGTGTATGTGTAAAGAACGAGGGCGCTTTTGATTGGCATTCGGCAGGAATCTGGGCGCACTTGAAAAGTGAAAAATTCATTGACCTGTTACATGAAATTTTAGCATTCTTTTGATGTATCGGGTTCCTGTGAAATAGGAAAGGGAAATATTTTCCCGATATTTTATTTTGATTTGCTAAAAAAGAATTTGAAAATTGGCTAGATGAGTCATTTGATACAAAATGTTACATTTTCAAACACGTTTTTCTAAAAATTTGCTACCTCTGGGTCATCTCTCCATGATTTTGAAACGTTATTTGTATGCATTTTAATGCAAAGAAACTAACAAACATCTGTAAAAAATGGAGAGAAGACCCAGAGACGATAAAAAATGAACTTTTTCCAAAAAAATTCTGATGTGTAAATGCGGTGCTTCATTGTCGCTTTAAAAACCATAAAGTGTGTGTAGTGGTGATAGCTCAGTAGTATGCGTTACCCGTACAGGGCAATGTAAAAGAAATATTTTTGGTTCGATCCTCGCATGGAGCGTGAATATTTTTTTTTATTACAAACAATCAGTTCGTTTGTCTGTTTAATTTTATGTACTGATTTATTTTTAAATAGATACATTCTGGTTCTGTTGCACCGAAAGCGAAAGCAATTCTTCCAACCTACTGATACTTAGTTATATACATGTAATTGCATTTAACTATACGCTATAGGTGTTTATTATTTATGTCAAGCGTTACTAAGTTTTACATGTAGTAATCATTAAGATAAGTGGACTGATATATTAATTTGACAAAGTATTTCAAGCTAAATGTAACATTTTTCCATGTGCGTAACTTTGTAGAATATGTCCAGCTGTGGTCAGCCGACCAAATCGTAGACATTTAAACTATAAATGTTTCGTATGCTTTATTTCTGCAGATCATACGCCAAACACGCCCATCTTCTTTGTCAACTTTTCATTTCGAACGTAAAATATATTATTTGCAATGTACAAGGCGACTGTCTAAATGAGTTTATATTGTAACACTGGAATAGGACACATTAAGACGCCGGTGATTGTATTCTGAAGACTTTGATGCTTGATGGCAGATAATGGAGCATGCGTATCCAATTTCGTCTGGCAGATTTGTCTGAGAAATTGATTTACATTCAATTGGTATTGGTAAGACATGTAGCGAATGTAAGTTGACAATAAAGAAATCATTCCTATATAGCAGAACTTCCCCTATGAGGGATTCTTTGCTATATAGCAATAAATTATCTGGGGAGACTCTTTGCTAAGGGGGAAGTTTTGTCCCAAACACAGAGATGAAGAGACATAGTTTCACGGTTCTCGTTCTTTTCCAATCGAACTTGGAGGTGAAACAATCTTAAAAATGTAGCGTTTGAGATAGGAATTTTACAACTTTCTGTTTTCAATCACACTCATCCACATCAGACAAAAGGGAGAACTATCTTCTTTATAGAAATTTGCGATGGTTGAGGGATTTAGAAGTTTAAAGTCTTCAGGACAAATAGACTTGGTGCATCTTCCTGCAGGTCATAATTGTGAGTTCTATTACTTGAATCAAAATCAGGAGAATTTATGGTTATAGGTTTCAGACAGATGTACAGATTCTAAACTCTGGGATAGAAAGATACCGAAACTTACTGGATGGGATGAAGCTTAAAAGATTGTTTGGAATAACTGGCATTGAATTTAAATCACCATCGAATAGAATTGAAAAGGTGAAGAAAAATGATCGATCTAAAAAAAAATCTATAAACAATACAAATCTTTGAAGAGGGCAAAAAACCGATCCTCTGGAAATTTCAGAGGTGGAATCAGGTGTCTTGGAGGAGTAAGCATCCCATGTTGACCGGTAAGACCTGCCATGAGCCCTGTGTATTGATCAGGTAGACGGAGCATTCCGTAGTCAAACTCGGTATAAAAACAAAGGCCTTACAATAGGTATGAAACACATCAGCCAAAATACGACCCCATGATAGGGTAAAATTGCTCATAATAACGACCATAGAATTTACGAAATGCTGACTTTAAACGAGTATAGAAATCCCTGTAACATCAACTTGTCGAATGCGATTAAAAAATGATCGCATTCGGAGCAAGCTCTTGATTGATTGTATGTTTTTTAACATACAATCGAAAATTTTTCACTCATATAGAGACGTCAACGTCTTTAGACCTATACTCGGCACTTAGGGCCATTGAGCAGTGAGGGTTTTTTATCGTGTCAACGCCTACCGGGACATGGGACCTCGGTTTTTAAGGTCTCCTCCGAAGGACCAGTGACTTCCACTTTTAGTGCCGGGCGCTTGGGGAAGGAACAGTCACTACCTATGTTTGCGTCTTAGGTTTGACGCGGCGCGGCGAACGAGAATCGAACCCGGGCCTCCCGATCACGAAGCGAGC